TTGGGCCGTATTAAGCATAATTCTAAAAAAGGTATCAAGTTCAACAATGCTTAAAAACTTGTGAGGTTCTTCTCTTCTCAGAGGACTGTTGGCTCTTACAAAATCGGGCTTAATTAACCACAGATTTAAGATAGTATTGGATATTGCCATTGGGTTTAACGTACTCAAGATTTAGGCTACACGAGTTCAACATTCGAAGGTTTCCACCACCTTGTTTCATAAAAGCGTTTTATGATTACAAAATCACTCCCATGAGACCACGAATAACAACATTCATTGTCTTTGTCAAAAAGAAAAATTTGTTAACAAGATTAGAAAACCGAAAACTATAAAAAAGAAAAATTAACAAGAAAAAGAAAACGAATGCTATAAGATAGATCTCTAAAACATTTAAATAGATCGATAGCGAACAAAACATACATATATAAAATTTGTGATATGGATAGAATATCCGCTTTTTTCAATTGTCGCTATATATGAGTGAATACGAGGGTAGGTCAAGCCTTGGGTGTCTTATTTTGCACATGTTGAATGTGATCCCTTAAGCCACCAATAAATTGATTCAACTTGCGACATTCTATGCTTTTTAGCAAGATAAAGCATTAAATATTGATTATTTGATCTGCGAAGGATGGACAAAAGAAAAAACAAATCATTTCGCCGTCAGAAAGGAAAAAAAAGAAAGATTCAGATGTAGATTCAGGTCTAAATAAAGTCAGGTCAAAAGTGATGAGCTCTTCATTAATAAGTTTGATCAAATAGATCCAATTTTCTTGAGCCGGCACTATAATTTTGCCGTAGACAAATGGAGAAATACACTGTTATATAATGAACATTTAATTCAAGTGGGATCAAGAGAATATTGGTGACTGATGGTCCTTCACGTGATTCTATATTCACTATTTGTTTAGTCGATCGTCAGCAAAGTGCTGGTCGAATCTCGACGTGTTCTTGGATAAAGTTCGTTTGTACCATTGGTCCTAACTCAAATTCTTGTTTCAAAACATAATTTGCTGTTTTCTGTTGTCAATAGTTTAGTGTTTGAGATTTTCTTAATCGTTTTATGTCCCAAAAAAAGAAAAACGTACGACAAAAATTAAAGTAATAAATTAAATATAAATATAAAAAAAACATTTAATTAAAGTAAAAAATAAAAACGTAAACATGGTCTTAAACTCTTAATTATTTTTATTTAATAAGAAAAATACAAGTGTCCAGGTACATTTTCCAAGACGGCCCTTAAACTAATCACCATGGATCTATAAAAGCATACTCACTTCTTCTTCCACTTCAAATTAAATTGGAAAAATCAAACCAGAGAAGAAGATTCTCAATCTCCATTAGAGAAAAGCTTGAAAGCAAGCAAATTCACATTCTCAATCTCCATTGGTACCTTCTCCAATGGCTTCCATGTCCACCGCCTTCGCTAAAACAACCCCTTTCCTATCTCAACCTCTCACCAAATCCCACAAATCCGATTCCGTAACCACATCCATTTCATTCCCCTCGTATTCGAAATCTCGCAGCCTAAGATCCTCCTTCCGAGTACGAGCCGGGCTAATCAAGCCGGACGGCGGGAAACTGGTGGAGCTCGTTGTACCGGAGCCGCGACGACGGGAGAAGAAACACGAGGCGGCGGATTTGCCGCGGGTGAAATTGACGGCGATCGATTTACAGTGGATGCACGTGTTGAGCGAAGGCTGGGCAAGTCCGCTCCGAGGGTTCATGAGGGAATCTGAGTTCCTCCAAACTCTTCATTTCAATTCGCTTCGCCTCGACGACGGATCCGTCGTTAACATGTCCGTCCCGATCGTTCTCGCGATCGACGATGAACAGAAAGCCCTAATCGGAGAATCGAAACGCGTCGCTCTCGTCGATTCCGATGATAATCCAATCGCTATCCTCAGCGAGTAAGTCGATCTCATTAGGATCCAAAATCAATTGAAAATGGCCTGAAATTTCCATAGGATTTGAGGAATCAATCTTTCGATTTAGAGATTGCTTATTAACAATATCTGTGATTGTGATTGTGATTGTGATTATGTTTTGCATCAGCATTGAGATTTACAAACATCCGAAAGAAGAGCGAATAGCGAGAACTTGGGGCACGACGGCGCCGGGCTTGCCTTACGTGGAAGAAGCGATAACCAATGCCGGAAACTGGCTCATTGGTGGTGAACTTGAGGTTCTTGAGCCAGTCAAGTACAACGACGGGCTTGACCGGTTCAGGCTCTCGCCGTTGGAGCTCCGGAAAGAGCTGGAGAAACGTGGCGCTGATGCGGTCTTCGCCTTCCAGCTGAGAAACCCTGTTCACAACGGACACGCGCTTCTCATGACGGACACTCGCCGGAGACTTCTTGAGATGGGATACAAGAACCCGATCCTTCTGCTACATCCGCTTGGAGGGTTCACCAAAGCGGACGATGTTCCTCTGAGCTGGAGAATGAAACAGCACGAGAAGGTAAATTCAAACGCAAGCAGAGGAAGTCTGTTTTATGTGTGTTAACTTTATAGGAGATGCTAAATTGGTTTTTATGGGTTGAATTAGGTGTTGGAGGATGGTGTTCTTGATCCGGAGACGACTGTGGTTTCGATATTCCCGTCTCCGATGTTGTACGCTGGTCCAACGGAAGTGCAGTGGCATGCAAAGGCTAGGATCAATGCGGGTGCTAACTTCTACATTGTGGGTAGAGATCCGGCTGGGATGGGTCATCCGGTGGAGAAACGTGATCTGTATGATGCTGATCATGGGAAGAAAGTACTGAGCATGGCTCCTGGACTCGAACGGCTCAAGATTCTTCCTTTCAGGGTAAAAAAACGAGTACTTTACTTCTCGGGATCATTATCTCCTTCAAAGATTTAGGCTTTTTGAGTTCTGATTTTCTGGTTTTTATTGGTTTGTTTAGGTTGCTGCGTATGATAAGACACAAGGCAAGATGGCTTTCTTTGATCCTTCAAGAGCTCAAGATTTCTTGTTCATCTCTGGGACTAAGGTACTTTACAGTTTCTCAGATCAATTAGGACATTAATATAATTTAAGTAAAGAGTATCCAATTTCTGATTAGTAAATGTGGTTTGGTTTTTGTAGATGAGAGGATTAGCGAAGAACAAAGAAAGTCCTCCAGATGGATTTATGTGTCCTGGAGGCTGGAAGGTGCTTGTTGATTACTACGACAGTTTGAGTGTAACCGGAAATGCCAGAATTCCGGAGAAAGTTCCGGTTTAAGACTGATTAAATTAAACCCCAATTTATTTGGTTTTGTTCTATTTGTGTTGTAAATCGGAATTAGTAGCATGGTAGTTTCTTTTGAGATTATAATCAAAACCGTCTTACTGTAAGATCTGGAAAAGCTTATATGAACAACGCCGTTGAAATTTTGAGATATAATACCGATTAGATACTTGAGCAAATGGCACCAATTTAGGCAGTGCCATTTTCCATTTGCGCCGGTAACACTTTTTGAAGACAAAAAAATTATCGTTTTAACTTTTAACCCATGGTTTGGCTGTGAGCATAACAATGGGCCAAGAATAGAGTATTAATAGTAATGGGCCTTTAAAGCCCGTATAAAACCCGAAATCGAGGCCACCTGAGTTTCTCTTTCTCAGTATACTGTGGAGGCATTGACAGACGACTGTAGTCTGTAGCAGTCTCTTTCTCTCTCGCTTGCATCGTTGATTCTCCAAAACCAGTCTAGCTCTCTGTTACCGATTCTCGTCTCTTTTCCTACATTCGGCATCTAAAAGCGAAGGTACGTCTCTTTGAATTTGCTGTTTCTCAAACAAATTTTCATGACATTTTTCAGTCGACGATGGTTTGCGAGAACAATATTTGGGAAAACGATGGTTTTGGTACTTCATTGTAAAATGTATATGGAAAGCTTTCTGGGTCTCTTTGTTTCTATTCAAATTGTTAGCTTTTGAGGGAAGTTTTGAAGATTTTACCTGGGATACTTACATGCCTGCGTACTGTTTGTTTAAATTCCTGACAGAAAACTCTTTATTGAAAAGCTCACTTTTTTTTTCCATTAGATTTTGTTCGAAGTTCGTCCTGTTAAGTGTATAACGTGAAAAGGGTTTCCTGTTTTCTGTTTGAGTAACGTAGATAGGTGGAATTGGTACTTTTACTGGTACATGCATAGATTTGAATCCCAAGGGGATCATGTCCAGATTATTTGAAAAAAACTGAAACTTTGATCTTATCTTGAGCATAAACTGTTGTGGAAGTTAATGATTTAGCTATCTTGTAAGGCTATAATCTTATCCAGATTCTTTGAAAAAAAACTGAAACTTTTTTCTTATCTTGAGCTGAAATTGTTGTGGAAGTTAATGATTTAGCTTATCTTGTAGTTGCATTGTGTTGATATAAAGTTACTAATGCGAATTGGTGAAACTTACATTGCTGCTTTCAGAGAGGAACCTACACCGAAATTGTCTACTTCCTTATTCTTTCTCTGTGTCCTGCTTTGGTAATATTTGTATATGCATGACAGTGTTGATGTATGATGTGAAAAAACGGCTCCAGTTGTCTGTTTGAGTAACGTATATAGGTGGAATTGGTACATGCATCGATTTGAATCCTAAGGCGATCGTGTTCATATTCTTTGAAAAAAACTGAAACTTTGATCTTATCTTGAGCAGAAATTGTTGTGGGAGTAAATGATTTAGCTTATCTTGTAGTTGCATTGTGTTGATATAATGAAACTGATGCGGATTGGTGAAACTTACATTGCTGCTTTCAGAGAGGAACCTACACCGAAATTGTCTACTTCCTTATTCTTTCTCTGTGTCCTGCTTTGATTATAGTAAATCATCTCTAGTCTCTGTATATATGCATGACAGGACATTTTTTAGTCCAGGGTGGTTTGGTAGAACAATATTTGGAAAAACGATGGTTTTGGTTCTTAATCGTAGAATGTATATGGAAAGCTTTGTGGTTCCTTTGTTTCTCTACAAGTTGTTAGCTTTTGATAGATGTTTTGAAGATTTGACATGCCTGCGTACTGTTTCTTTAAATGCTTGGCAGAAAACTATTCATTGAAAAGCTCACTTTTTTTTTCATTAGATTTTGTTCCAAGTTCGTCTTGTTAAGTGTATACTGTGAAAACGGTTTCTATTTTCTGTTCGAGTAACGTAGATTGGTGGAACTGGTACTTTTACTGGTACATGCATAGATTTGAATCCCAAGGCGATCGTGTTCACATTCTTTGAAAAAAAACTGAAACTTTGATCTTATCTTGAGCAGAAATTGTAGTGGGAGTAAATGATTTAGCTTATCTTGTAGTTGCATTGTGTTGATATAATGTCACTGATGCGGATTGTTGAAACTTACATTGCTGATTTCAGAGAGGAACCTACAACGAAATTGTCTGCTTCCTTATTCTCTCTCTCTCTGTCCTGCTTTGGTTGTAGTTAATCATTTATAGTCTCTGTATCAGTGGTAATATGTATATTTGATTTTGATTTTGAAGTTAATCATTTCTATGCGTGACAGTGTGTTTATTTGATTTTGAAGGTTGAAGAATGTTTCTCAAAGTTCAGATACCTTGGAACGTGATGATTCCAGCTGAAACCATGGATGCAAAAGGGCTGATGCTGAAGAGAGAGATAATAGTACAGTTACTGGAAGCATTCGCTTCGAAGAAAGCCACCAATGAGCTCGGCTACTACTTGACAGTCACGGATCTTGACAAGATCGGAGAAGGCAAGATCAGGGAGCACACCGGCGAAGTCATGTTCCCTGTGGTGTTCAGCGGGATTACTTTCAAGATCTTCACAGGTGAGATACTTCAAGGTGTGGTTCACAAGATTCTGAAGCACGGTGTGTTCCTGAGGTGTGGTCCGGTGGAGAATGTTTACATCTCCAACTCGTTGATGCCGGACTACAAGTTCGTCCATGGAGAGAACCCGATCTTCATGAACGACAAGATGTCGAGGATTCAGGTGGAGACTACGGTTAGGTTCTTGGTGGTGGCGACGCAGTGGATGGATGCTGAGAGGGAGTTTCAGGCGCTGGCTAGTCTTAAAGGGGACTACCTTGGACCCATCTCTGAAGAATGATCTGCTTCATGTGATAGGGTTTTTTGGGCAGATATAACTCGTGAAGTCTTTGGTTGATGTTTGGTAAGTAAGTACTCACATGGTTGTGTTGATAATGAACCTTGATCTTTGAATGTAATATGGTATTGAAGAGGAAATGCTGCTCTAATTTAGCTATTTGATGTTTGATACCATCCATATGTTTTTTTTTGTTTTTGAAGTTTCAAATCGATTTGTCACTGGTAAATACGAATTAGAACCTGAAAGACGATATTAACATTTGCATGTAACATAATGTTTCATCAATACAAAACTTAGCAATATAAAACCATTTTCTCTCTCTTTTCTTCTTTCTCTTTTAACCATCGCTTCATTAAACAGAGCTGAGGATTATCTCCGCCGATAAAGTTTCCTCCTTTCCTTATGTAGACTGTAAAACTGAGTAAAAGAGAGAAAGAAAAGAGTGGGAAACCAACCCTAGCGTCTTGTTCAGTGAGCGTTGCAATTCTCGTCGTTGCTTAGCTTAATCTTGCTTCCTGATTTCGTAGCTAGGGTTTGGAGAAATCTCTTGTAAATTAGCACAATAAGAGAGAGCTCAAGGAGGAGGAGGAGTCATGTGGGCTTTTTCTGATAAAGAGCTCGATACGAAGCTGAGGACGATTCTGATTTCGGAAGCTGGGAAAACTCTTCTTGATCTTGACCCAACACTTTTTCCTGTTGAGAAGCTTCTACAACTTCTCGACGTGAGTCAGCTCCTTCACCATTTTCGTTTCCGTCTAATGTGTGGATTTTTTTAGTCGTGTGCTTTGTTTCTCGTCATCTTTGGAATCTTCTGACATTTTCTGTCCAAAGAATACAACTTTCTTGCTCTTTTGAAACAGAATGAAATTAAAAATCTGATTTTTTTTTTCTTTTTCTGGGAAGTGTTTTAATTGTAATTTGAAACCTTCTTTTTGTTGAATGGTGATGTTATATATATTTTAGACTCAATTTTTGGTGTGGGCTGCTGTGATTTTGAGTTCTTGATCATTCCATTGTACCTTTTGGCTGTAGAAACATTTCTACTTCCTGTTAACGGTGGAACAGTCACCTCCCTCATCAATTAAGAATGCTCTCTCTCCGTTGATGAAAGCGTTATCCGCTGAAACACTCTTGAAGCATTCAAATGTCGATGTCAAACTCTTTACCGCTTCCTGTATCACTGAGGTTCTGAGAATAAATGGTCCAGTTGCTCCATATGATGATGACAAGATGAAGGTACATTCCTTTTTTTTCTAACTTACGCAAATGAGCACAATGCAGTTTTGGTCACTGACTTGTTTCTTTGAATTTATTCGCAGGAAGTATTCCAGTTAATTGTCTCATCATTTGAACACCTAGATGACAAATCTAGTCTCTCCTATACCAAACGGACATCCATCCTTAATACTATGGCTAAAAGCCAAGTATGTGTTCTGATGTTGGATCTTGGTTATGATGCACTTCTCATTGAGATGTTCCAGCATTTTCTCAAGGGTCTAAGGTAAAAGCTGATAAGTTCATGTTGTGCTAGAATTGATGTTAAATTTGGAAACGTATACTTTCTGATGCTAGTTTTGTCTATCTTCCGTATCGATCCTGAATTGGATATTATTCTCTCACTTGCATTTGCTGCTCCTCCATGGACTATATATGATGTGCTACATAGCTTTATGTGTTCGTAATAACAGGTCTACTGAGTGTTGCTTATGTTTGCTGTACAACATTCATCAATACATGGCTGATGATGAATTTATATTTCCTTTTTCAGGGATCATCATCCTCTGAAAGTATATACAGATATGGAGGACATTATGACCCTTGCTTTAGCGAAAAGCAGTGATATACCTCCAGGGTTGCTTTTACCAATTCTACATTATCTTAAAAAGGATGATCAGGTGATACACTGATAGGTTTTTAGTTCTTACTAGTTTCTTTTTGCTTTTCAGCACCCAATGCTTCAACTCTTTCCGCTTCTTGTCCTTAGGTTCCTCAAAGATCACGGAGGTTGGCAGAACAAGTTCTCATTAACTGTTCCAGCAAGTGCAAAACAAATCTGGCTGAAGCAGTGGAATTGTCGGGCGTGTCTTTTGAAAAGTATACTGATGTGGTGGCTTTAATATGTCAAATGCCATTAACTGCTTGGAAGCAGAAAAAGGTTGTTGCTCATGAAAAGGAAGTAAGCTCTCTCACCTGTTTCTCTGTGTGATTGCTTTTTTGACTTTTGTGGATTTGTAGAGATATTGATGTCTTTCTCCTTTATGTTGAGAGTTGTAGATTGTTAACTGTGTTCTGTTATTTTCCAAACAGAAGGCCGCAAAAGTTTCTACCCCTGAGCAAACTTGTGTACCTAGGAGGAGACTGAACGAGAATGAACACGAGGCTGTGTCCCGAATGCGTGAAGCAGGAGTGAATAGACAGGAGAAGAGACCCCTTGAGATGGCTGAAGAAGAGAATCTTGGAGAAGCCGAGACTCAAACACACAAGCGAGCTCGAGTGGAAAGCTGCACCCTTCATAAAGCTCATGGTGAGATGGTGAAAACAGTTGGAGAAGGAGAACCCTCTTGTCGCGCTCACAAATCCAGTCCTGACCCGAAAGACTCTCAACCTTGCTCCGTCACACATCAGTTGGCTAAGGTGAAGCAGAGCATCGTAGATAGCCTAACCAGTGTGAGACAGTTTAGCTCTGAGATGGAGACAAAGGAACAAAGCATTGTAGACACTATAACCATTGTGAGACAGTTTCGGTCTGAGCTGGAGAGAAAGGAACAGAGCATTGTAGACACTTTAACAAGTGTGCGACTGTTTCGGTCTGAGATGAAGAAAAAGGAAGATAATCTTGAAGCTTCGCTGCAGGAAGTTGACGTGTTAGGTATGTGATCTTTATCCTAATGAACACTTTTCTTTTACTTTTTCTTGTTTGTGTGTGGTTTGTTTTGGTTCTTGGTTTCTGATAGTGTGATGTTTGAATAAAACAGGGGAAAAGATATTGGGAATCAACAAAATCCTCAACTCATAATCAAAGTTTAGAGTGAAACTGAAGAAAACGGTTCAGACTTTTCCAAGCTCTTTTGTTTTTGTATCCTGAACTTGTTCATTAACGATGGAGTTTTAAGTACTTGAACAGAGAGAAATCTTTTTTGTATAGCATGTCTCTGTCTAAAGACAATACATTTTAGACTATCTTTCATGCAACTCTAAGCACGGTATGTTTTCTGATTTACTACGAGGATAGAGAACATGAAACATTGAATTTAACAAAAGAGATGTGGTATATTGTGAATGAATCAGAATCGTCAAGAGGCAAAAGAATATTGAAGGAAATATATGTGTGAATTAGTCTCAATGAGAAGGGAAGGATTTGTTGAGGCAGCAAGGTAGACCATAAAACTCATCGTTTCGGACATCAAGATTGTATAGTCGAAATTTCTCCCACCATTTCAGTCCACAATCTTTCTTGGCTTCATCATTCTCACGACATAATGTGCAATCAAGTATTATTGCTATGATTGCCGCAACCGTTGTGTGTGACATGAATATCACTCTTACCACATCTCCCAACTGTTTTGTATTCACCACATAGTCCAAGAAAAAGAAAACGTAAGTTGATAAGTAAGTTACTAAGAGTGTTTGTTCAAAAATGTAACTCAAAAGTATAGTAGAAGATGTACTGACCCAACTTGAGCGATGATCAGACCTCCAACCTCCATTGTAGTATTCTCTAAAGTATTGAGGGATTGAAATAGCCATGAAAAAGGAAAATCCCAAAATGAATTTTGTGTTGAAGCTGTTTAGGTTGCAAAACTGTAGAAAGCTAAGCCCCGCAGATGCTGCATTGCATTGAGTTTGGTTTTTTTTAGCTAACGAAAATGTAAGTTTAAACTCTTAGAGATTACAAGTGTGTTGTGATGAAGAGACTTACAAACAAAACACAAGACGATGCAGTAAACAGACGCCATGATTGGTAATGGTATTGACGCGAAAAATGCTCCAAACTTTCCTGCATTTTGGATCAAAATAAATAAGATACTAAACCGGAAAAAAAAAATATAAAACAAGCTCTATTTATAATAGAAGAAAAAAGATACAAGTAATAGAAAAACAAAAAGTATACCAAAAACGGAGAAGAAAAGCATGAAGGCAGCTGATATTTGTATTACTCTTCGACTCCCAATCTTAGTCATTGCCAAAAGTCCAACATTTTCTCTGCACATTAACATTAACCATAACATTTATATATGAGAAATTATAATAATAAATAAATATTCAATAAATAAAAATCTGATAATAAGATGAGTTTCGTTACGCTGATGCTGTGATCCCTGAGACGCCTCCAAGCATGCCGTTGAGTAATATTCCAACTCCCTGCGAGACATTCATTCAAATATTTTATAAGATGATGAGAATCAGAAAATTAGTTAATAGACGATTAAACCAAAAAGTGACTTGTTAAAATGTGCTGAGACTAACCAGCCAGCCAGTGCCACGGCTAACAACAGATGGTGGAATCGGGGTCGCGCTTCCATATCTTGCGGATGCATAGAACAGACCCGTCGACTACAACCATATATAACAATTTCACATTTCATTATCATAAATACAAATTTTACGTTTCCTTGGTTTTTTTTTTTTCAATGCATGATTTCAAATTATCATTTTCATAATAGAAAATGGAAGATTAACCTCAAATAGAGAGACGAAAGAGGCAGCCATCATCGCGAAAGAATCAGTGACGTCGAAGGTTGGGCTTCCCCATTGGAAAGGATATGGTATGAATATCCTATTATAATTCACATAAAGAGAACTTGAACAAAGTTGGAATATCAAAACAGTGAAAACTGTCCACACACAAAATAAAATATTCAAATGGAAGAAACTGACCAGGGAGTGTTGGATATGAGGCCAGTACGGTCTGTACGGCAACTTGTTTGAGTAGTTTGAGGCTTATGGTCATAAACACCACTAGATGTGAGTAGCTGAGCAAACAACCAAACCAATGGAATGCATATTAACATCCCATAACGGTCGCATCTTGATCCATCCCCAAACATCCCTTGCTTCATCTTTAGACAGCGCGGTAGGTACTATAAACCACAAAAAGAAAAGAAAATGAATGTCTTTTAAAAGAATTTGGTCTCGATTGTTTGTTTGAGTTTGCTTATGTTGTGTTTACTTATTATAACTGAACGTTTATTTATCTTTATACTTAGTTTTATATATAATCATCATGTGTTTTGGTTGAAAACGGAAAATATGCGAACGTAAAGCTTTACCTGGGTGATAAAAACAAGTAAGATTAACCCGGGAAGTCCGACTTCAACGCATCTTGTCAGCTGAAAAATAAAATATTTTTACATCATAAAGAATAATAGAAAATGTTTAGTAATCAATAAAAAAAACTACATTGTAAATGGCCATAGTGAGTGTACATAAACATACCAAAGGGAAACCGATTTGGTAGAGACCTAGTCCGGTAAACGTCGCCAAAGGAGCAATGGAGAGTGGGCTTAGAAACCTAATGATCACACAACCAAAAAATATACTTTTGTTCAATTGATGGTTGAGTCCCAATTCTGGTAAAGCAATATTATATTGATTAACTAACCTGATGATATTTCTCCATACACCTAAGAAACATACAAGAACTTGGAAACAACCAGTGATAATCAGAGCTCCTTGTATGCTTCTCATTGTTCTCACAAACCTCTGATTAATTATGTGATTGGAAAAAAATATTAGTAAAATTTCGTTTGTTAAAGTTTAATGAGGAAATTATGGTTAAAACTTACTTCAAAAGGATCAGTGTAGGTTGTGAAGCGGGTTGAGCAAATGATGGAAGTGATAGGTACAATATAGGCATAAGAGGCAGCAGCTATCACAGGCAATCGAGTTCCGAAGAAAGACTGGAACAATGTTGTTAATCCAGACACAAATAGCATTGTATGTATAACTTTAGCTTTTTCTGCCTGAAAAAATTTCACAATGTGAAGGAAAAAAAAGAATGTTAACAATATGTAAGAAAAAATGAAAAACGTATATGAAGTTGGATAAAAACTTACATCACCACCTCCCATAAGTGGAACTAAGAGACTGGGAATAAGAACTGTGATGCCAAGACTCAACAAATAATGCTGGAAACCCAACACTACCGCTTCAACTGCAACATCAAAGTAATATTATTTACACAAATTAAACTAACACAAGCAATTTTTTTAAAAAGAAAATACATACACCAAGGAGGAGGACTATTGACACAATACTGAATTCCGGGGAGTTGTTCTTTCACCGGGTGGGGCTGTAATTCCACTGTCCTATTGCTTGCTGCATCGTTGTTAGTGTTTCCGCTACCGCCATTACCATTACCGCCGCCATTTGCCATGGACGTACGTAGTTACTTTTTTGTCTTTTGATTCACAGTAATCAAATCAATAAAGGGGTATCGATAAAGTTTTATCCTATAGTGAAAAGATTGTGTCTACATTAATAAAAAAAAGAGGCTAAAATGATCACACTCAACTTGTTAAAGAACATAAAAAGTCAAATAAAAATAGGAACAACTTACTTTTTGTAAAAAGGAATCCACACGAGATGAAGATGAAAAAGCTTTCTTTGTATATGAGGTTGTAGTCGAGGGGTTGAGAGAATCTGAAAGAGGTGGTAAAAGCTGCAAAGTGAAGGAGAAGAAGTCAAAAAGGTTTGGGTTATAACTCTTAACTCTTCCCCAAATGTTATTAAAAAATAAAATTTTGATAATTTGAATAGTTACGAGTACATTTTATAAAGTTAATGTGGTAATAAAAGTCTCCATAATGTCAGTTTTGATATCTAAAATTTCAAATTTGAAATACAAATATTTTAACATTTATGTGGCCATCCAAGGACTTTTAAATATTCTTTCGATTTGATCTGAAAATTAAAATTATTTATTATGCTTTAAATGTAAATGTTGATATCAAAATGTAAATGTTAATCACTAAATGTGAGACACTTTTCTCTTATTTTCGAAATTCTTGAGTCTAAATTATTGTACTGTTATCTTTGTCTCTCTGTAAAATTGTATAAGCACCGAAGTAATCATTAAAATCAGAGTCTGAGCAAGACTTTTGTTTAAAGTTCATCTTCAAAAATAAAATAAAAACCAATGTGTTGCTATCATTACATGACGAAACCGCCGAAGTTACTCTAGTTGCTAACCAATAATTGCGTACTAATTTATAAATTTATAATGCTAGTGCTGTCTATTCTTTTATACTTTATTTTATTTTAAGTATAACAAAAAGGATTGGTTTGAGGAATTCCAGCAAAAAAAACACCTCTTATGTTTTGATTTAAAAACAAAAAGAGAAATGTCCTCAAAAGTGGAGAGCTAATTATTGTCGCTCAAATCATTAATTTGTATCCAAAACAAAAGCTACAGAAAAAAAAACTATACCGAAAATGATTAAAGCTAGCCATTGGAATACTATATAAGAATCATTTCTTCACTTACATGGGATGAATGTGTCGACCCAGCAGCACCACAAATAGTCCCTTTTATTTTCTTATGATTCTGTTAATTAGTGTTTCACTGCTCACTAAACATTATATCATCAACATAAAAATATATTATGTACATAGTTAAAATATGGTTGAAATGACGGTTGGACCATAGAACTCTTATGTATCAAATATTAGCTTGGATATACATCGAAACATTTAACGTATCATGTGGTCTCATAAAGTTGTGTAGATATTAGCATACTAATGAAAGTTTTTTTCTTTCTGAATATTATCTACAGATTTGGTGGAGTTCTTGAAACAATAAAGTGAAGTCCAAAATTTAGAGGTTGGACCTCACTTTAAACTATGGTCCAATATTATAATATATAAATATCATATCGTGTTTCTAATTTAGAAATTAAAAGTGTCCTACGGTTTTACTATGAAACCTTTAACGTAGTAGATGGTCCATAATGTTGTGTAGGGGTCCACACAAAGTGACGCCAACCAAAAAGCATTTAACTATCCCGTTAATTAACTTTTAAAATAAAATCCCAAACATGCTTTAATTAAGGACAATACAAACAGTACTCCTCTCCTTCAGCTAGAAGCCTATTGCTCTCTGCCTCAATTTATCAGATTTATTAAGAGATTTTCGATTCATTGAAAACTGAACGAAGGAGATGATATGGGAAACAACAACGCAACAGCTATTTTAACAGGTAAAACAACAAAGCCTTCATTTCTTTATTTTGATTCTCACTAAATACTCGTTTGTGTAATTTTAGAAGAAGAGAGCTTAAAGCTAGAAACCAATGGAATGTCACCTTTGAAGTCTGTTTCCGTGGAGACCACGCGAGATCAGGTGTTTCTTGCATGTGAAGGAAAAGATGGAGATGAAGAGAAAGAGAGCGTGCATGATGGTGTTACAGGTTTTTCTTCACAATTGTTTCATTTATATCCATATATCATATATGTAAAATCACTAGCTCACTTTTCAATCATTGTTGTAAGAAATAGGTAAAGAGACTCAAGAAACAGAACCACAAAGCAAGGAAGTAGTAGAAAATCCGCAAGTGAAAGAGATCCAAGAAGAGATGCATCATCATAGTGTCATGGAGAGCTTGGTAATGGAAACCGATGAGAAGCTTCAGAAACAGGCATCAGATGCAGAAGGTTGATCTGACTTTTTATCTCTCTCTTCTCTTCATATTCGAAAAATGACTATATGCCTTTGTATTTTCTTAAATCCCTTTGTCTGTACATCCTCAGGTGTTGAAACTGTGTGTGAAGTGATAGATGTCGAAGAGTTAACTTCGGTTGGATCTCAAAGTGTTGTGAGCAAATTGATCACGACAGATTCTGGTGATGAAGAGAAGCTCTGTGTGATCGATGAGATTGTCCTTGTATCTCCACGTTTCAATGGAAGTGTTAGAACAGAGGAGGAGAAGATGATCAGTGAGTCTCCGGAAGAAGTTGTTCTTGTAGAGGAAGATGCAAAGCTTGATCAAGAGATTGGTGTGGAACAGAGAGCAGAGTTTCTGGAGATCGAGCCACATGAGATTCTGAATCTGGACTATGGCGTTGTTGATGATGATGATGAAGTTATAACTGAAAGAAAAGCTGATCCGGAAATCTCTAAACCTGTTTCTCAAGAATCAAACGTGATTCAAGAGACTAGTCCTGAAGTTAATAAGGAAGAGAAGGACTTGGAGTTAGGAAGAAAGGCGAGTCTGAAACGCATGTCCCGATGCAGATCGCTCCCAGTGAGCCAAAATAGAAGAGTTATGGGAGACTCTCTGGTTCAACAGCTGGTTTCAGGGGTTGTGTTTCCTTCCAGTAACAAGATGGGTTTAGAGAAAGCTAACAAGTCTGGGACACTGCTTGTTTCTTGCGTGGGAAGCAATAAAGCGCAAGAAACTACTGAAGCGATAACTGATAGCGATAAAGAAGCTAGACTTGAGATGCGATCTCCTAGCTTTCGTATTGATCTAAGAGACGAAGAAAGAAGCGGGGAATTGATCGAGAAAACTCCGTCACTCTGTCAGGACAAGACTGAGACGTACGAGGCAGCAATCGATGTGGAAGAGAAAACTGTGATGCTGAAGAGAAGTGAGACTGAGGAAACAAGAGGCGTTGAGTTGTCTATAGGGCTGTCGATGAAACACAACGAGAGCTCTGAAGCAGATAATAGCTTCAATGAAACTAAGAGCTTACGAGATAACTTTCTGGACAAGAAAGCTAACACGGTTGAGACTCCGCTTGTTTCTTGCGTAGGAAGCAACATAACAAAAGAAACTACTGAAGCGAGAACTGAAAGCCATAAAGAGATGCTGTCTCCTAGCTTTGGTCATAACCTGAGAATCGAAGAGAAAAGCGATGAATCGACGGAGAAAACTCCGTTACTCTGTCAGGACAAGACTGAGACGTACGAGGCAAATGTGGAGGAGAAAACTGTGATGCTGAAGAGAAGTGAGACTGAGAAAACAAGAGGCTTTGAGCTGTCTCTAGGGTTGTCGATGAATCCTACTGAGAGATCTGAAGCAGGGGAAAGCTTTAAAGAATCTAAGGGCTCAGAGGATAACTTGCTGGACAAGAAAGCTACATTGGGTTCTATGAAAGGCAGAGCCAGAAAACGGAGCAAATCTTCGATCTTGGGAACATGTCTTTGTTGCGCCACCGTTATGAATTGAAAAAGTTTGCAAGAGAAAGATTAAAGATTTTGTGATTTGATGGGTTTTTTTTTGTTGATTATTATCTTGGGAAATTGAGAGGAAAGTGTGTGTGGATTAAATTTTCTGTATACTTGAAATGGATTTTTGTTTGTGTGAAGGGTTTTGGTATATTTCGGAAAAGTTTTACTGCCTTTAATTTGTATTTATATCATTTTCTTAATAAATAAAAATATGGGTATGTTTCTTTTTTAACTGTATAGGAAAGTAACTTGATGCAAATTACCATTTTCTCAACAAAAAACAAAAAATCTTGATGGAAACTATATCTATCAGTACAATGGGTGTTACTGGTCCGGCAATGCACGTGTTGTGGAACGGGGAGAAAACAGAGGCCTTTACTCCTTCCAGAGGCCTTCGTCAAGGGGATCCTCTATCTCCTTACTTGTTCGTACTATGCATGGAGAGATTATGTCATCTCATTGAAGAGTCAATCGCAGGAAGGCAGTGGAAACCTATCAGTCTGTCGAGAGGAGAACCTCAGCTAAGCCATATCCTATTTGCAGACGACCTGATCTTGTTTGCTGAAGCCTCGGTTGCTCAAATCAGAATCATTAGGAGAGTGTTGGAGAAGTTCTGCATGGCCTCAGGGCAGAAGGTGAGCTTGGAGAAGTCAAAGATCTATTTTTCAGCAAACGTGCCTAGAGAGCTACGAGACTCAATCAGCGGGGAGAGTGGAATCCAACAAACCTGTGACTTGGGGAAATATCTAGGTATGCCGGTGCTACAGAAGAGGTTAAATAAAGAAACCTTTGGAGAAGTAATAGCTCGGGTGTCATCAAGAATGGCCGGATGGAAGGGGAGGACACTCAGTACGGCTGGGAGACTTACCCTGACTAAAGCGGTGTTATCATCTGTCCCTGTACACTCAATGAGCACGATCTTGCTGCCTAAGGCCACTCTATCCAAGCTTGATCAATTGTCAAGGAATTTTCTCTGGGGAAGCAGTGATGGGAAACAGAAACAACACTTGGTGGATTGGAAGAGAGTATGTCGGCCAAAGTGTGAAGGTGGGCTAGGGATCCGTCAATCAAGCGACACGAACAAAGCTATGATATCAAAAGTTGGGTGGAGGTTACTACAGGATCAAACAAGCTTATGGGCACGAGTCCTACGAAGTAAGTATAAAGTCGGGAGCGCTTCAGACCGGAGCTGGACGGCATCAAAAAACCACTGGTCGTCGACGTGGAAGAGTATCCTGGTAGGGATGAAAGAGGTGATACTTGAGTCCCACGGATGGGTTGTTGGGGATGGAAGATCAACTCACTTTTGGACTGACAGATGGTTAACAGAGAAGCCGCTATTGGAGAGAACCATTGCTTCATTACCGGCGACTCAAGCAACCCCCTTAGTTAGGGATCTCTGGCAGAATAATGGAGGATGGCGATGGGACCAAATAACGCCTTTTGTGTCGGAAGAGGTCAAATTGGAGCTATGCTCAGTGGTGGTTGATACGGTTACGGGAGCAGAGGATAGGTTAGCTTGGTGGCCGAGTCCGAATGGTGAGTTTACAGTGAAATCAGCTTATGCTTCTCTCACTCGGGATGAGTCTCCGAGGCAGAGCATGGACACCTTTTTCTCACGTGTGTGGAAAGTGGCTGCACCAGAAAGGGTTAGTTTCTTTCTTTGGCTAACGGGGAATCAATGCATAATGACAAACCAGAAAAGGAAGAGGAGACACTTAAGTGATTCAGACATCTGCACTGTGTGTAAAGGAGGAGTGGAGACTTTAATCCATATACTTCGGGACTGCCCAGCCATGAGTGGTATATGGAGCAGGATAGTACCAATCCGGCGTCAACAAGATTTCTTCGACAGATCCATTTTGTCTTGGCTGTACGACAATCTGGGAGAGGATGGTTTAGTTGAAGGTTCGCCGTGGTCAACAATGTTTGCCATAGGTGTTTGGTGGGGATGGAAATGGTGCTGCGGAAATGTGTTTGGTGAGAATAGAAAGTGCCGAGACAGAGTCCGATTCATTAAAGATCAGTCAAAAGAAGTGACGCAGGCAATAGAGAAGTGTAATGCTCAGAATATCAAGCCAGCAAGAGTGGATAGAATGATAGCTTGGGTGCCACCGGAAGTGGGATGGATCAAACTGAATACGGATGGAGCCTCTCGGGGGAATCCTGGTCCAGCTACGGCAGGAGGAGCGCTACGCAATAACTATGGGGATTGGTGTGGAGGTTTCGTTCTAAACATAGGGAGATGTACAGCACCACTGGCGGAGCTGTGGGGGGTTTACTATGGCCTACTTATCGCTTGGGAGAAGCATATTCCAAGGTTGGAGGTTGAGATCGATTCGGAACTGGTGGTGGGTTTTCTCAAGACAGGGATCAACGACTCGCATCCGCTGTCTTTCTTGGTGCGTCTATGCCATGGCTTGATCGAAAAGGACTGGTTAGTCCGAATTTCACATGTGTATAGGGAGGCCAATTGTCTTGCAGATGGATTGGCAAACTATGCATTTTCTCTCCCAATGGGGTTCTCTAGTTTTGATTCAGTTCCTTCCGATTTAAATGGTGTGTTGCAAGATGACATTCTTGGATCTGCGCGTCTGAGAAGTGTTTGCATTGTTTAGTTGTATTTTTATTTTCTTGAATAAAACATGGGAGATTTATCTCCCATCTCACTTACCAAAAAAAAAGAGATATTTATTCATGGTTTTGTTATAGTTTTTTTTGTTTGTTATAGTTAATCACTTAATAAGAAAAGAAAATATATATATGTAAAAGTACTTTTCTTTCTATGCAACAGCTTATGAAACATCTTAGAAGAAAACTGGATCGAAAGAGTCAATAAGAGATGAAATTACAAAACTAGAACTGAAAACTTCAATGAATTTAGAATAATGGAATCTGTTGAGATGGTGTGAACATAAGGAACTAACAAGGTATAATGGATCATTGGTGTATATAGATAATAGAATAATCAAAAGAAGTAATTAATTAGCCAATGTTGACCATCATCTTGACAAATTCATCATAATTCACTTGGCCATCACCATCCAAATCTGCCTCCTTGATCATTTGTTCAACTTCTTCATCTGTTAGCTTTTCCCCTAGATTTATCATTACATGGCTCAACTGCAATATGAAAGCTTTTCACATTAGTAAATATATAAATCACGAAATTTAGTTAGTTTCAACTGTAATATTTGTATGCAGAAACGTGCATATATATCAAAAATAAACGCACTAATGTAACTTTTTGAGTTTTGAGGATGTAAAGAAAGGTGTATATATTCCAAAAAAAAAAAAAAAAAAACTAGGTGAAAACATGTGCCTCCTGACCAATAGAATCAAAATTCATAGGTATCTACTTTTTTTTTTTGATCGAATTCATAGGTATCTACTTTATCTAACCATTTTCAATTAATTGTTTTTTTCGTTCCCACCTCGTTCTTCTCCAAAGATTCACAATGCCAGCTAGCTCTAAGCCTTCACGATGGAAAACAGACTTTCGAAAAGATAAATAAATAGTCATGTCTTGTTATTTTATTAAAATAAATTTGTTTAGAACGTAAATGAGACAAGTATGGATCTCTTTAAATTGCAAGATTGTCTGGCCTTGTTGTCTGATTTTTGTCACTGACTCAAAAAATTTCAGTTATTTTTGTTAAAGATTAAATTCAAAGTGCTTTATAGCTGGATTTATCATTTATCTAGTTAATGCAGAATCAATTGATCAAGTGGTTCAATAAAAATAATATACTCATAATTACGATACTTAGCCTGGATTGACAATTTAGAGATGTGGAGCATGTACTACTTAAGCAGAACAAACATCAATGAAATGGGTTCATGCATATACCGTATTTAAATTCCACAAAAACGCAATTTAGATAAGGATTCAATAGACACAAATATCTATTTAATTATGGCTCTAATCATTTATAACTAAATAACTGTACATCAGTAGTACATTCAATTATTGGAGGACGTTGTACGAATCACCATCCAGTGCATCAGACTAATTTGATTATACAATTTCTTAAGAAATAAGTCAAGCATATATCTAACTATAAACACACCAATCTAGAGAGAAAAGAGAGATATATAACGGCTTCAATTTTTTTTTTTAAATAAATAAAGAGAGAGAGAGAACAAAATAATAGTCACGGACCTCACTGGCAGAAATGAAACCATTTTGGTCTTTGTCAAAGACTTTGAATACTTCTTTCAACTCGTCCTCTGCATCACTTTCCTATACCACCGCATCACAACAACAAGTTAACAAAAACAAGACTATTGTTGTAAAATATAAACAATGTATGTAGTTGTTTAGAATATAAACACACAGATTTTCAAAAATGAGATTTGTTAGTAGAAGACCAAAAATTCTAAACAACTAAAAGCATACAAGATGAGAAAGGACTTGTTGTATAAAAAAAACTAAATATTTCCTACTAAAGAAACTAGAAGACAGAAACATAACTGTACATCAGTAGTTGTCAAAATGAGACAGCTCCATTTTGACAACTAATCATATAAGCAAAAATCTTTCTCTTGCTGTAACTAATTCTGAAAAATACTATATATTTCTTGACAAAACTATTTAAGCATGTATGTAATATGGGGAGAGACAATAGAGAGGAACCTGAAGTTTCTTGGCCATGAGGTTGAGAAACTCAGCAAATTCAATGGTGCCATTGCCATCAGAGTCGAACTCAGTGATGATATCTTGAAGTTCTTGTTCTGTCGGATTCTGATCCAACGAACGGATCACTGTTGCAAGTTCTTCCACCGTTATACAACCTATCATATGATTCCATAACAGCGATATAAATATGTCACAACACATCATTTTATCAATCTTCGTAACTATGTATATAAATCATATAGAGAAAGAGAGAGGACCGTCGCCGTCTTTGTCGAAGAGACAAAATGCCTCTTTGAACTCAGTGACCTGATCTTTTGTCAGTGCTGTCTCCTCCATTTTTTGGGATATTTCGCAGAAAAGGGATAGAGACTAGAGAGGAAGAAAAAACTCAAGGTTTTGAAGTAGTTGATGAATCTCTGATTTGTGGTCTATTTGTAGAGTTGTGACAAGACCTTTCTACTTTGCACTCATGTACTTTTTCAACTACATACTTTAATAAACTATTACATACTTTACTTAAACTGAAAAGGGGAATATTATATATTTAAATACTTTATAAACTAACTGAAAATTTTAATTCTAGTCACATGACCAAATCTCATGTAATAACTGTTGCTGATCTCGAGTATGCAATAAAAATTGTGAACAACAATTTCCAAAAATTTCATAGACTTTGAATACTTGTGAAAGTTCCTAATAAATTGCAAAAAAATCCAATAAGTTATGTAAGTTTACTATATTTTGAAAATATCTGATAGCTTCAACCAAAAAAAAATAATGAACAATGTCCACTGCCACTTCTCAATATGAAATATTCCTTTTAAACACTACAAGAAAACAAATTTGACAGAAGTTTAAAAAGTTAAAAATGAATTTGAATACAAAGGTTCTCGAACAGGGTCAAACAAGGCAAACATGCTCGGGTAGAAAGCTTGGTTTTGGTCTGGGAAATTATAAGTACTGAAGTTCTAACTTGTTACAGCCGTTAGTTTAGCTGATGAACATGTATTCTAAGAAGAAGCAAAAACTATTAAAAAGTTGTACGTACGTATAGAGTTATCTGTATAAACATAAATGTGTAGTAATGTGAACAGCTGTAATGGTTAGATAACGGGGAGACAAAAACATTGAAAATGGTAGACCAAACCATACCACTATTAAAAAAGAAGTCGACAAATTTTGCGTTTCGTTCTAATGCTGTTCTCCAATCCCTGTTTTGAATAAGACAATCTATTGATGTTTCAAAATAAGAAAAAGTTGTTGGAATTTTTTTCCTCGTTTTTGTAGATGTTAAGATATGATTATAGTCGAAAGAAACTCTAGTTTTTTTTTTTTGATAAAAATAAATATAGTATTGGTCGGATTATGACTGTTTTGATAAATTTGATTAAATTGTTTTCCACGTAATAGATCACAATTATTAAGAATATCTATGGCTAAAAGATCGTAATCAGAACATTCGTTGGTAAGAAAGATTTTAGGAGAGACTTGCATTGAATCTGGAATTCCAACAGTAGGGAAAATGCATGTATGTATGTAAGTTTGCTACGCTAAATTGATTTGACTCTATCGAATGCATTATAAGCTCACAAGCATGATAGAAAAAGAGTATTAAAAACAAAAATAAGTAGAGGTTGCAAATCAATGGACCAACAAAAATCTGAAAATCGATCGAGTAAATAATTCGGTTCGACTTATCATGACTTGAATTTTAAATATCGAATTTTGAAAACAAATAGTATGGAAATTTTCCTTCATTAGTAATCTTTGACTTTTTTTTTTAATAGATTTGCAGTATTAATTTGTTTTAATTTAATTTACATAGAGAAATAAACGAATGTTTAGTTGTGAGCAGAACCGTCCCTGACATGTGGTGGGCTACAAGCTTAAAATGAATTTGGGCCGAAATTTTTTATAACGAGAGAGAAAAAAATAAAACATAATAACTGTATTGAGGAGGAGTCGAACCAAGACTACTAGAGTCAGTTAAGAAAGACGGATACCACTAGACTACTAAAACAAAGGCCGAAAAAATATATATTCAGGGCCGGGGCCGTAAGCTGCTGCTTGCTTTACTTGCTCCCAAGGACGATTGTGAGTATGGGGATGTGAAACGTGTCAACTTAAAGAACCAGACTAGAATGCCATCGTATTGTCAAAGCTTTATTACCCTTTGGTTTCTGTGCGTTTGGTGACACCTATAGGGGTGACACAGCCCAAAACTTGGTCTTCACTCGTTAACTTCTGGGACACGTTACTCGTTAAGAGTTTGGGGACTTGGTCTTGACTTTTCTCGCTCGAAAGATTGTGTCGGTTTTTAGAAGCATTAGTAAAGTCGAAATTTTGAACAAACAAATAAGGTAAAGTCAAAATCAAAAGCACATTTTTTTAATACTAATTTTAAATATAGTGGATTTCATTTTTATTTCTTGTTTCATCCATTTCCATTTTGTCCTATCCGTTTTGTTTCATTCTCTTCTATTATGTCCCATCCATTTCCATGTTGTCCTATTCCAATTTGATTATGTCCCATCCAATTATGTTCTGTTCAGCTTCATCTTTCATTCCATCATGTCTCGTCTCGTCCTGTCTTGTTGCGTGCTATGTCATTCCGATATGTTCAGTTCAATTAAATCACGTATGACTTGTTTATCTTGGTTTGAAACCAGTATTTTTAACTTTTTAAGTCTTCTATATGTCGTTTTTTTAGGCTAAAAAGGCACATTTTACATTATATATATAAATATTGTTTCAAATGTAAGAAAAATGTGACTAATACACTCAAAGAATATGGAAATTAACTTGTAGGGTGGCAACATTGATTCAAAAAATTAGGCAACAAATTTTGGTCAGCGAATGATATAAAACAAAACAAAAACCAATGATTGTTTGTCAGTTACGCTGGAAATAATTATCAGAAAATACAAGTAACAGAATATAAACACAATACAGTACATTTTTATTGGAAAAAACAGAAAAAAAAGTACGATACAATACATAGCACCTAGAAAATGTCCTCTTCGGTCGGCACCGATACACTTTGTTGCCACAAACTTTCCCAATATGAACACACAAAAGAACAAGCATAATCCAAAACACCGTTATCAGAAGAACCTTGTAAAATAACGGGAGCTTGGCAGCGCGATAAACATTTGAAGCAACGTGGTCGAGTGATACCACCATTCAGAACCACTTCAAATTCCGTCATGCCATCGATGGCCGGGATTCCTGTCTTGATATTAGCAAAATCACCACCAAGTGCACACTGAATATGACAAACGACACTACAATCTTGGCATGTGTAAAACCATTTCTTGGGGTCTGCTTGAGCTTCACATATCTCACACCAATACTGAACACTTGAATCCTCAGCGTGGCATAAAGAAAGAAGATGGTCATCGCACTTGTGATATATCTTTTCTGGTAGAATAGCACATTCGTAGCATAAAGTAAACTCACACTCAATGCAGTTTAGCACAGGACGTGCCGACATGTTGCAAGCTCCACAAGTGTCATCGTCTACTGAAGTGAGGAATAAGGTATGGGGATGGCACGGATGATCAAAGATCCATGGTATCGACGCACATCTAAGATCAAGTGAGAATTCATCACCAGAAATCACCATCCATGAGTACCTACTAGGTACATGATACTTAAAACCATTTGAGAAGCTTTTACATGTCGAACACTTGAAAGTTTTTTTCTCAACTTCCAGATCAAGAAGACGTGAGGAAAGGCCATGTCGCATTTGACGAGTAAAGTTAGCGCATGATTCATGAAGTAAGAAAACACGTTCCGTGCAGCTATAGTACTGCTCGTAACCTATATAAGAAACACATGCTTCACACCGACTGCTTTGTACTTTATCTATAGCATTTGCATCTACAATGAGTTCTAAGTTGTGTTCTTCATGAGAGAAATGATTTATCAGGTTTTCACCTATCACCTTGAAAGGACTAATATCTTTCTCTTCTTCACTTACACCTTCGAGATCGCTTCCATCCCATACATCCGCTCTAGTTGCACATTTGGAATGAGCGTCAAAACTAGGACACCTTAAGCAAAAGTAAGATCCGTACCTCCAATCGACTTCCTTGTAGCAAACTGTGCATATCCGATCTCCATGGACAAGAGAATGGGTGTATGAGACACGATGATTGTGACGGTTCACGTTTATTACGCGTGGCAGAGTAATACACTCCTTGTGGAACATGAGAGAGCATACAAGACAAACATAAGCGTTTCGTTGACCAAGCGTACCACAAGCATTGCAGACAAAGGAGACGGCCCTCGCCATAAGGGTGAGTGTATGCTCATGGCACTTGTGGTGATTGATTGTAAGCTCTGGGGGTTTCTTGACACAATTTACATCCACATTGAAATCGCATATCGAACAGTGGTAACCAAACTTCATGCCTAGGCAGAATTGACATTTTCCATCGGTGTAATCAGGTATTCCGTCAGCAAGAAACTCCAGCGGATGATTCGGGTGGGATTGGTGGTTGATCGTGGGTTCGTGTGGGATGCAATTGCGGTGCCATTTTCTTGTACACGAGTTACAGTAGTAGCTCCGATCTTGAAGGCTTCCCAGACAAAAGTCGCATTCACCGGACAAGTATTCATCCCATGCACTTACAGGATGTTCGTGCCAGAATAACTTAGGCATGTCTACGATTGGTTATGGATACGATTTGTAACCAATTCTTGGGTGTTTTCTCTCTATCTCTCGTGGAAGTTTTGTGGAGTCAATGCAAATCGTTTCCTTTCTGATGAGTTCATTGCATATATTAAATAATGTACGAAATGTCTCCTCTCCATATCTATTTTTCTATAGATAAATAAACTTGTATAAGTCTTTCTTTATAAGAGCATGTGCATTGCACAGCTCAAAGAAGATTCTGAGATTTTTAAAAAAAAAGAAAAAAAGTAAATAAAAATGACATGGCAGTTCTCATTCTCTAGAACCGTCTCAGTGGGAGGCTACGATAAAATCGTCTCTTTTAGCACTGTTCACGCCACATGTCATTATATTATTGGTTTTACTTTTTTCTGATAATTTTTTTTTCTCTTTTCTCCTCATCTCTTCGTCTTCGTCTTCTCTCCTCCTCTCCTCCATCAATCATGTTTTCTTCTTCTCTTCAATCACTCTGTTAATCTGCCACATGTTAATTTGTCTTGGTTGCTGTTTCTATTGATTGGTTTTCGAGATCAAGGGACTGATGGATTTTTGGGACTCATGGGTTTACATGTAGGTTTAATTCACATGGGTTTTTTGCGATCTATGGGACTCATGCTGGCTGGTTTAGTTTGAGAGGTCTGGAATTGAGAAGTTGGGTTGAAATTTGCTAGTTTAGGTTTGATTGTGATGGGTTTTCGGCTGCAAAATTCTGTTTTTTACTAAATGCATATAACCTGCTCGATGAAATGCCTACAAGAGAAGCATATTTAAAGACAGAATTTTAAAGAAGTCCAAACCGAGCTGTGCAATGTAGAAGCTAAATTTTCAAAATTCTTATCTAAACTCTAAACTAAAAATATTAATACTTTTATTGTTAAAAATGTTAAAGAGCTTGTAATGGGACTGTGCAATGCCTTTGCTCTAAATATGTGTTCCTCGGTAGCTGTAAATTGTACTCGGCAAATAATAAAGTAACATTTTGTAAACAACTTATCAAACTCGTCGACTTAATTACTACTATCTTATAAGGTCAACCACAACCTTTCTTAAACTAATCTTATAACTAAACAAAGTGGGATCCAAATGAATATCAAATAAATAGAGAAAATGATTGTGTACATTTCCTTTGTTAAAAGACATGATACCCACTAAAGTTCCTAGTAGTTACACTTGTACCATTTATATTTAATTATAGTAAACAAATTCAAAAATTTAAATTTAACAATTCAACTGGTTGGTAGCTTCTAACCAGAGCCGGATTTGAGGCCAAGCAAAGCAAACCTGCTTGTAACCCTGTTTTTATATATCAAAAATTTCGGTTTTATTTGACAAAATGTTGATGTAGTCTAGTGGTAGAGTAACGTGTTATAAGCTATGAGAACATGGGATTCGAACACTGGTTCCAATAGGAAATTTTTTCTTTCTTTATTTTTGTTATTTTCTCAGAAAATAAAAGAGTCCTTTAACATTTTTGGCTTGTGGCCTCATCAATCTCATGGGAGGTCCATCCATGATTGAATATAATAACATCAAGTTATTCTTTTGATCAAATTGAGGAGATAGAGAAACGAAATATACTAAGAGTGAACCCGCGGATGATGCGGTGGAGGACAAAACAGGGATCGAAGATCTTGATCTTGAGACTTGAGATAATTAGGTTTTTATTTTATAGGAGAGATACTGAGATACATACAATTCAATCCGATTAGACCAAATAGATGGAAACTCATCACATGAAAAGTGGAATCAATACACTGTCTATAAAAGAACAATTAGTCAAACGTAAAACGAAAACAGTAAGGTTCTGCGATCCACACTCTCTGTATCTTCCTCTCAACTTGAAGCTTTATCAGTAACTTTCTGGGCAATCCAACCAAGCCCATCATGCAATCCTTCTCCAGTGACTGCACAGCTTGCTTGAATGTGCCAGTCATGGTTCTTGATGCTGTGAAGGTTAAGCGCGTCCGTGATTTCAGCCGGGGTCATAGCGTCTTTCAAGTCCTGTTTGTTCGCAAACACGAGAATAACCGAGTGCTGAAGATCCTCATGCCCGAGCAACCTGAAAAGCTCGTCTTTCATCAAAGAGATCCTTGCTCTGTCCGTGCTATCGATAACCGCAATTACAGCGTTCGTCCCTCTATAGTACGTTGCCCATGATGTTCTCAGCCTATCTTGCCCACCAAGATCCCAAACCTGAGAGACAAGAATCGTAAGAATCAACGCAAAAAGCTGCAAATCTTGAAACAATAGCTTCTCGACTAAAAGCAACGCAAGAACATAAACATGCCCAAAAGTTCCAACTTCTTTCCATTGAATTTGACCATATACACAAGGATAAGCAATCAGAATCATAGATGACAAGAACATAAATAAAGTTCGAAACTTTGAGCTTGATAAGCCTTCCAAAACCATAGATGACAAGAACATAAACAGAGCATCCAATTCAGCACAAAAAACGCATAGACCACTCTATAAAAATTCAAGCTTTAGGGACATGGATAAGCAATCAGAAACCATTAAAATGGTGACAATATAAATAAAGTTCGAAACTTTGAGCTTGAGAAGCCTTCCAAAACCATAGATTGACAAGAACAGAAACAGAGCATCTAATTCAGCACAAAAAAACACATAGAACACTCTGTAAAAATTCAGACTTTAGGGACAAGGATTTGATTTTGGGTACCTCGAAGCGGATATTCTTGTAAACGAGCTCTTCCACATTGCTTCCTACGGTTGGATGAGTGGTGACGACTTCACCCAGATGAAGCTTATAAAGCGTCGTCGTTTTACCGGCGTTGTCCAAACCAACAACAACGATCTTATACTCTTTCGCAGGGAACATCATGAACCAGAACCTCGATGCGAAGGCGCCCATGTCCCTAAATCGGAGTAAAACTAATCAAATCTTGAAGAAACCCCTAAAGATGCAGTTTTGATTTGACCCGAATTGGATTTCTACGAGAGAGAGAATCAGATGGTGTTTATCCGTTGAAACCCAGATCGGATTTGGATAAAACGATCTAAAAATGTTCTGTTTTACCGAATTGTGGAATACAATCGAAAAGAGAGATCAATCGGGAATCTGAGATCAAACCTGGATTCAGCTTAGAAGTGGCGGTTGCGGTGGCAAGCGGCGTAGTCTGGTTTGATCAGAATCGGAAAAATAAAAATCGTGTCTCGGAGGGAAAAATCGATACTTTATTTTCGGAGGTTGCTTTTTGTCGATCCAGTTGCTCCGTGCGATAAGTATCCGAGAATAAAAGCAAAAAAAGTTTAAAGAAGAAAAAAAAAAAAGGAATTTACAAATATAAAGTTACAAAAGAGACGAACCAATAATTTGGGTGACAGATCTTTGACCTCTTCAAGGTTTTGTCATCAAAAGTTTTAAAAGGTTTGTGTGGAGGATGCTTCCATAGCTATCGGCCTTGGTCAATAATTTGGTTCTGCTTTAGATGATTTTGCTCTTGGTGAAATGCGTCACATGTACACATTTCCCGTACACATTAAGTTGCATGGAGACTTAAGTAAATACTTCGAATGTTTCACATCCTCGGATCCACTTTTTTTGTTTTTCTTTTCACTAGTGCATTAGGCAACTTAAAATCCAGAGACTTTTGTTAAAAAGATTGATGTGATCTACGATTTTTACGTCTTCATCATACACTGATGCCATAAATATCGTTGTATTCTCTGTTACAAGTTTTGTTTCTGAACAAACGGATCCAAAGGTTGCTAAATATCTAACAGACTACTTGATTAATGTTATATAGTCTTTTGGTCAGGTTAATATTATATAGTTGTAATTATATTATTAATTCATTTCAGATGACAACATTCATTTATTTATATAAAGTCTTATGAACCTTAATTAGGCACAACATGATCAATACTAATGTAAACTAATCCCCATGAACCTTAGGCACAACACTAATCAATGACTGAAATTTTTTTATTAAGATAAAAAAACAAACATCATACATGTCACATAGCAATGCACTGATTACATTATTTATTATGAAGAAAGAACGTAAAACAATGCAATTTCAAAGACAATATATTCTTTTTATATTATTAGAATCTGTTTTGCAAATCCCTGACCGCATTAAAATCCATCTGGAATGCGCTTGCAAGAACATTAGGGTCTATAGGTGGGTTAGACCCAAATACCGTGTTAGCAATCGTGATAACACCTGCGTTTTGGCTGCTCAAAGCAGCGATAGCAACCGCTGGAATTCGTCCTATGTTGAATTGGAAATGGACGAGTCCCTCTGGAAACACAAATACATCACCCACGTTGAGTGTTTTGGTGAAAAGACGGTTTCCGTCTTGGTTTGATGAGACAAACCCTACGAGTAGGGTTCCTTGTTGGACAACCAAGATCTCTGAGGCACGTGGGTGAGTGTGAGGTGGGTTTTGACCTTGTGGTGCATAGTCTATACGAACTAGTGAGATTCCAAGGGTGTTTAATCCTCCAAGGTTGTTAACATTGACGGTTGTCACATTGGACTCAACCGCGTTATTTACATTTCCAGGTCTGTTTAGTCCTGAGAAAAAGAAATCATCTGCAGAAACGGTCCTTGGATCCTTGCAGAACTTTCCATTCACAAACACTGAAAATGAGTTTTAAAAAGATAAGAGTGTAAGTAATGCAAAAATTAGCATAGAGATATATTGAAGAAGTTAAGAAATTATCATTCCAATTTTCCAATACCTCCACTTGCTGGTGAGTTGACGCCAACACAGAAATCTTGAAGGGGGCTTGGATCAGAAGCAAGAGCTAAGGGAAGTGTCAAAGCCAAGATAGATAGAACTGCAAGAAAGGAGAGACTTTTCATTGCTATTTGTATGTGTATTGAGACTGTTCTTAGAAAGAAAAGAAGGATTATTTGTTAATTTTCTTGATCTTGGTTTTGATGAAGATGTGAAATGCAGCATATACAAAGAGTTCAATTTATAGATGATTTTGGGGTTTGAACAAGTCCTTACGTTTCACTTATGTATATGCTACATGGATTCCTTATAACAAAGACTACAACAGTGTTGCTTTCATTATCTAGAAGTTGGAAATGGGAAAATGTTCATCAAACCGTGTTCCCTCAAGTTGTATTATGTTGGTTTGTTAATTAGATTATTGTATTGTTACCATGTTTAGTTTGAATGTTGCTTTCATTATCTAGAAGTTTGAAATGGTAAAATGTTGATTAACACGTATTCCCTGAAGTCGTATCATGTTGGGAGTTATTTAAGTCATTGTATTGTTAACCATGATTACGTAGGCAATATGTTCAACACACAAACAAATGAACAATTATATCTTTATTTGAAGATATGGGTGCACTTGAAGTTGAAAATGTCAAGTGTTGGGAGGATAGAGTTATACAACTTACTACATAGGTTTGTTTACTAATAGCTTTTCCTCATGTTGTCATGAATTGTACGTGATGACTGATTTCTTATAATCTTTCAATTGCATCTGTTTTAGAGTTGACTTTTAAATATGTTCATGATGTGGATTTGATGAGTTTTGCCGTTTTGGTTTGATTGTTTCGTTAAGCCACAAGGAATGTGCGATCACATTAAGTTTTTAACTTATAAATTTATTTCAACTATCCTAAAAAAATTTCCGAGAGTTGTCTTTCCCTATTATAATTTGTTTTATATAGTTTTGTACGTAGAACAATTTTAATAGTCTTAGAAAAATCTACGAAAATTCATGTTTTTAAATCTTTATACATTTTCATTCATTAATAATCTTTAAAATATAACTAGGCCGCATTTTTTCATCATAACTCTTCATATAATACATAATCACTCATAAATCATAATACTCCTAGGATTACTTTAAGAGGCCGCGACTCATAAACTTACTTCTCATGAAAGAGCATAGGAAATATGTTTGTTTCAAAGAACAAAGAAGTCTAGGAGAATTTCAGAAAGTTTTTACTTTAAACCATCTTTCACGAATGGTCAAACCGAAACAACAGCAACACCACTAAACCAGTCACACAACCCGGGAACCGTAAGTACAGTATTACGCCACTCGGTCTTACCCCAAATCTCACCTCCAACGCGTTTCTCTAACGCAATCTTAGCGCACCAAATTTCAGTTTTCCAGATTTCGCGGTCTTTTTCGCGGTACCTTTTGCTCCACACAACCACAAGATTCCCACCATAGTTAACCATTCTAAGCATAATGCTACCCGTTACACGAGACTCATCACGCAATTTCTCCAACCCCTTGATCTCTTTCCACTTTCTACATTCATAGTCATACCACATTAAATACCCCTTGTAATTGTGACTGTACATTACATTCTCTATCACACACCTACCGACCAAATGATATGAGTTCTCTGTAACTTCCCATGTACCACTTTTAGGCTCGTAAGTGTATTCCTTTCTGTCAACCACTACGTAAAGCTTTCCTTGAACAGCATTTACCACAATAGATCTCCAAAATAGAACATCGAGATCAGCGATATGACATGGCAAGACGCTCCATGTCTCAGTCTTTATGTCGAAAACCTCAAACCAATTGTCAGGCTTTCCGCAACCTCCCATGACAAATATTTTCTGGTCGAGAAGAACCGAGTTTGCACTCCTACGAGCTACCAACATGTTAGGAGCGTCACGCCACGTGTTACTCCGACAATCAAGGATCCGAACAGAGGAAGACCGCGTAGTGCGTCCACCGATTACGTAGATTTCATAACCAACGGCTATGGTAGAATTCACTGGTACGGGTGGAGAAAGGGAAGCAGAGTGTATAGGAATCAAAGAATATTCATGTAAAATCTCATCTTTGTCAGTTAGAAAATCTTTAGGTTTCATCGAAAGAGCAAACCATCGGGGAGATGATGAGTTGTTGAGCAATTTTACGCAGATATAGAGGCATGGCTCTGTGGTTCCGATGTGATATCGAGTCGTGAAGAGTTGTGGAGAAGAGAGCAAAGAGTGGAATCTCTTGGAGACGAGCGAGAGTAAAGGGTACTTATATTTTGAGACACGTGCAAGGCAGTTCTTCTTTTTTTGCAGTTGGTTCAACTTCTTCTGAGGTCATGGTCGGCGGAGATGGAAGTAGATAATATTAGGGTTGAATAAAAATGATTAATTAGGGCAGTAATATCAAAATAACTGAATTAGAGTCATAATTCAAATAAAATATGATAATATGATTATATCTCTAATTCAGTTATTGAATTTAGAAAATTATACATATTTAAAAATATATCTTATAATATAAAGCTGTATGCGCACGACGTGGTTGCGACATGTAGGATTTTTATAAAATTCAGGATCGCGACATGTGTCACTTTTAAGTTTATATATGTTAAGATTGTGACACGTGTCTTTGAAAAAAAGAAGAACTTTAAAAAATAAAAAGAATTCCAGAAAAATGTTAATTAAATAAAAACAAAATTTAATTTAGTCTATTATATCAAAAATGAAAAAATAATATTTGCCATATCCAAACAGAAAAATGTTTCTCATTCATCAAAAATCTCTCTCTCTCTCTCTCTCTCGGGCAACTTCGGTTCAACTGATTTTCCAGCCAAGTTGCTCTCTCTATCTCGGGCAATTTCTTTTTTTCCAAGAAGTCACATCTTGATTTAGGTGACGTGCCACATTTAGAGACAAGATCAATAGGAAAGACATAAGTATAAATTTCATTTGTACCTTCAAACTGATGGATTTCTGATTATAGTTTTAGATTTTCCTTTATCAGTTGAAGCTTGTCTTTGACTCAGGGTGATCCAACTATCATAAAGAGTGCAATAAGCTTTCTTGGGGCTGAATGCTTCTTTTGAACCTTGTTCTTTCACCAGTGTCCCTATTCCATTGAGAAGGACTCCTATCATGGCTTGTTTCTACTCTTCGAATAGCTTTTCTAAGGCTCTTTGCCATCAAGGACATGATTTCCTGAATGTGACTTGTTTCATCTTCAGCAGTAAAAGCTATTCCTTTTGAGTTCAAGCTGATGAAGAACTTGAAAGCTAGTTAACATGGCGATCAAATTGTTCTCTATGTCCAATTGTAAAAGGTCGTTATTATTTGTAAATGTTTAATTGTCAAAAAGGAGGATACATAGTTCTTTTTGGGGAAAACGGCCATGTCATACCTAAACTTTCCGTATATGTTCTATTCATACCTAAATTATACCACTGTTGAAATCCATACCTAAACTTCAAAAATTTCAAATTCCATACACAAAGTTTCAATTTTTTGCCGTCTCATGCATTTTCGGTCACTGTTTAATAAATCAGTGGTCTGCTTCCGGTTAGATGCACCAGAATTGTCTTTAGAAGTATCATTAATTTCGATAGGACTTTTGAGATTAAGATCTGCAGGAGGGTAATGTGATGCCTCCGCAGAAAGATGCGATCATTATGTACAGCACGAGAACTATCAAGCACGTCAACATTACCCTGTCAAACACAAACAATAATAGATTATAGAAGACTGTGGTGATGAATCATTCAATCTTCTTCTCCATCGTCACCACCAGCATCTCCATATTAAATCTTACTACTTGCTGCTTATTCTTCTTCTTCCATCTTTTTTATTTTAAATCGAGAAATGATTAATTCTAATAATCCGACACCTACTCTTAACAAGTGATACTTTTTGTATCCAGTGAACAACATTACAAGCCAAAAACAGAGATAGAAACTTTTCCTATACTGTGATTGGCAAGTTGAAACGCAATGGAACCTAGATCTGAAACATCCGATGCAAAGATGATACTCTTTACAGTTGACATGGTGACTGCGCATACTCTCCACAGCCCAGAGAAGGGCCAAGCAAATTCTCAAGGAGTTATCGTACTGAAGGCAAGTCTACTGTGCATTAGAACCTTCCCTTCCCAGTTACATACAATCATGCAGCCTGCACCACACATTTTCTTGGACTTGGACCAAGAGATCCCAACATTGCATTTAACATAGTCCACACACAGAGGCTTCCATGTAGTGATTTTAACACTCTGATCATATTCCAATACCGAGTTTTGAGTTGGGTCTGATCGATACATGGTCTGTCTGTAGCTGAAACTATTGGTGAGAATCTTCCAATATTTTACAACCAGTTTGTAGCGCGGAGAAGATTTTCCTTTCAAAATAAAACTTACACCGACTCTTCCATATGATCTAGAGGATCCACGGAAATGTTCTACTAACCTTGTTTGGTATATTGACGTTATCTAAGCTTCGCAGAAAGTAGTTGAAGTTCACGAAGACAGATGATTCATGGAAGCCATCACCCATAAAGTTTCTCCCATGCTTTGTAAACCATATTAGCCTCGTTTTGCTTCTGTTCCACTAGCAACGATACAGACTTTAACCTGCCTTGCTAAAGCTACCACCTTCTCACCTTCTGCAACGAGGTCTGAGTTTGTGTTGTCAAGTGCATCACAGACTTGCAGAAGTTTCTCTTGGTAATCATTTATGAGCCTCTTTCGTTCTACAGTAGAAACTCTATAAATTAATAACACGATATATTAGTATAGTTTTCCGACAAAACTAAGTTTTGATACAAATAATCTCTCGATAAATTAATAATTCGCTAAATTAATAAACTATCATGATTCTGACATTATTAATTTATAGAGTTTTTACTGTATATTATACTGTATATGATTTTTCAAAACAATTTTATACCATTTGGATTTACATGCGATTCATATCAATCCAACGGTTGTAATGTATTGCTTAAAACGACATCGTTGAAGGAGAAAGAGTCCGAAAGAGCACAAGAGAACAAAAACAGAGATATCATCACTATGTGCCATGAAAAGCTCACAGGTTCCAAAGACGAAAGCCGCGAGTTGACGCACCAACCATCTCTTATCTTTTTTCTCTCTTCATTATGATTCAAAGATTCCTTGCTGTATTCAATCTCCGGCGATGCCTCGTCGATTAAACGACGGAGAGCCTGGCCGTTTTACCGCCACCGCTCTTCTTTTCATTGGTCTGATCTCGTTTCTTCTCGTCTACGTTGTCTTCTCTATTGTCCTCCGCCCTCGAGATCATACGCTCGATTCCGCGGCCCGATTCACCGGCTCGCAAAATCAGAGCCGTTCAGAGGCGGATGGAGACAGCCGTGGGTGTTGCCGTGGAGTCGATGATCTGGAGCTTTGGGGTCCGGCGGTGAAGTGGGGGGAGGATTTCAAGTTTAATTCGTCGGAGGAATGTTGTAAGGCGTGTAAAGTTATGTGTAGCGGCGGCAATGACGGACCTTGCTTGTGCGATTCATGGGTCTTCTGTGGAAACAAAGAGGCTTGCGGCTCCAAGTTTGGAGAGGTGAGTCTGGTGCCCCCCCCATGTGTTCGACAGAATTCTTAATTTAGCATTTCGTTGTATCATCAAATCGAAATTTTACAAAATTTGGTGATTTGACTCTGTATGTGATTAGTGATTGAGAAATGCTGAATTGGTACTTAGCCATTGGTTCATGTGCTCTGTTTCCACTCTGCGCAGTGTTGGCTGAAGAAGCAAAAAGATGTATTGCTGCCTGATCGACACGAAGGCAGCCAGACAGTATCGTGGACATCTGGGCTTATATTCGGACAAGGAGAGGTACTCTCACTCTATCTATCATCTCTGATAATTATCCACATTGATCCCCAAATTCAAGCAAATGCATGTTTCAAACGCTGGAAATAGGTTTCGTCAGAGATTTTTCACGAAATTTTAGTCTGACATTTACTAATTCAAGAAATTCCTCAGTCTGTTTCTTTATATCCGTGTGATATTGATTTGTCTGTATGATTAGATGAACATAACTGCCCTGTTTCATCATATTTCAAAAAGATTCACGTTGTTCTCTTGTTCTCATGCTTTACTTCTCATCATGAAAACAAATATTGTTCTTGAGGATTGTCGTATCCACTTTGCTTCTGTTATAGGGCATTGTTGGTTTTGAGACAAAACACGGCCTACTTCATGTCCAAGTAAGTCTCTTAACCTTAATGTCGTTTTTGCACATGGAGGGAAAGTTTCAGTTTTTGTTTGAAGAGTTATAGAATTGAGGCCGATGATGCTTTCCTCTGTTTGCAGCTTCACCCTGAGTGCGCTCCTCACTCAGTATTCTACATTCTTAATTTGTTAACTCAGCGCCACTGCGCAGGCTGCCAGTTTCATCGTGCAGAGAACCGGGGATCATATTGGGACTCACAAGGCAATCATTTAGACAATGTAAGAAACCTTTTACATATTTTTATTTTTTAAACCTTAGATCATGAATTAAAGTCTCTTATTTTCTCTGTGTCCCTGCAGGCTCCGTATGGTCCACCATATGCCATGATTCAAGGAATACTCCAGCCGGAGGGTAACATGTTTTCGCCGATCCCAACCGAGAACTGCCCAACCATTAGCCGTGGCTCAGTTGCGTGGGTCGGCTCGGGTCCAGAATTCTTCATCAGTCTCGCAAACCACCATGAATGGAAACAAGCTTACACTGTTTTCGGCTCTGTTCTGCCGGAAGACATGGAGGTTGTGGAGAGGATTGCTGGTTTACCAACAAGAGCCGATGTATGGAACAGCGTTAATGTCTCTGTGCTTGAGAAACCTGTATGGTTAACCGTACGAAGAATGAAAACGGGCTGAGAACAAGAAGAAACTGGTTCGTGAAGAACAAGTTAGAAATGATCTCAGAATAGTTCTTGTTTTTTTTTTGTTTTTTGGAAGTTTTTATATTCTCTCTCTCATTGTGCATAACAGACTACATATTGTTATACTAATGATTCATCTCAAATAGTAATTGTAATCTCACATTCTCACAAAAAACAACATATATAGATGTTTGCTTCAAAGAACAACAAAATCTTTCCCAAAGTTGTGACGAATGAATCAAATAGAAACAACTGCACAATTTAAGCAGAAATAACACTCGGGGACCCTAAGTACAGTATTAAGCCACTCGATCTCACCCCAAATCTCACCTCTAAGTCTCTCTAACGCAATCTTAGCGCACCAAACTTTACTTTCCCCGTTTACAAAGTCTTGACCTAACGTTTGCCTCCACACAACTACAAGCTTCCCACCATAGTTAAATAGTCTAGGCTCATCCCAAGGCGATATAAGATACTGACCCAAATTTTCCAAACCCTTGATGTCTTTCCACTTTCTATCTTCATCGTCACACCACATTAAATACTCCTTGTTAGAGCAACAGTACATTACATTCTCTATCACAGTAACATCAACCATACCATGATATGAATCCACTTCCCATGTACCACTTTTCGGCTCGTAAGTGCATTCACTTCTCTCAGACACCACGTGAAGCTTCCCTTGGAGAGCATAGACCATACTACCTCTCCGAAGCTCATCACGATCAGCGAAACGACTTCGCAAGACACTCCAACTCTGAGTCTCTATGTCGAAAACCTCAAACCAATTGTCACACCTTCCGCAACCTCCCATGACATATATTTTCTGGTCGAGAAGAACCGACTCTGGTCTCGTACGAGCTACTGTCATGCTAGGGGCGTCGTACCACGTGTGACTCAGACAATCAAGGACCCGAACAGAGGAAGACGGCGTAGTGAGTCCACCGATTACGTAGATTTCACAACCAACGGCTATGATGGAATAACGTGATACGGGTGGAGAACGGGAAAAAGAGTGTATCGGAAACAAAGAGTAGTCACCAAAAATCTCAGCATCGTCTGTTACAACTTCTTCATGTTTCATCCAGAGAGCAAACCACTGAGGAGATGGCTTATTTCGCGGTTTCACACAGATATAGAGCCGTGGCTCTGTGGTTCCGAGGTGAGATCGAGTCGTAAAGAGTTGGGGAGAAGAGAGGATAGAGTAAAAGCTATTGGACACGAGAGAGAGAAAAGGGTACTCTCAACTTGAGATACGTGCAAGGCAGTTCTCTGCAATATCGTCTGGGAGCGACGAAAACGATATTGACTGAGAAGTCTTCTTCTTCTTTTTCCGCATTGGTTTGACTTCTTTGGAGATCATGGTCGGTGGAGATCGCAGTAGAAGCGCTGGAGGAGATGGAAGAATATCAAAAAAGTTAGGGTTGAATAAAAATACAATTTATAAGGGCAGGCCAGCCCTTAAATAAAAGATTGATGTCATTAAAAAGAAAAAAAAAATATAAAAAAAAAATAAAACACTAATAAAACTAGGGCCCTGATGTCATTAAAACTAGTGCATAATAAACCAATCGATGGTGAATTGGTTTTTGTTTGGCCCTTTAAGTGTTGCTCTGCTTGAATAATTTTAACTTAGGGCAACGATGGGAGTCATTCTTCTTGCTTTCAGTCGTTTAAGTGAAAGAAAAACAAAAAACCTAGAACCTAACTTTAAAAATAAATTATATATAAAAATATCGTGTTCGTATTTATTTGAATTTTTAATAAAAATGTAGATCAGAAAATACAATTTCTCACTTATCCCATTTTTGTTTCTAGCTCTATAATTTGGGCATACTGTGTGGTTAGTCCATTTTAGGATATCTCTATCATGAACCCAAAATCGACCTTGATCCAAAAATCTAAATTCATTTCAACAAATTACCGAACCAAATGTTACGGTGGAATCAGTTGGTATGGAATGAGAATGAGGAGAAGAGGAATGTGTCGGAAAAAACAATTTTCCACTATGCTTAAACCTTACGTTTCAGCGAAAGACTAAATATAGACAGGTTTCGTTGGTTAAATCACGTCTTATATATAGAGTTCCATAGAAGATCGTATAACAGAGTGAAGGTATCCACGCATTCTTAACAAACTTTTATCGTTTCAGAAATTTGTGTCCTTGTATTTTGGTTTCTGTAACATTTTTTTAATAACTATTTTGCTTTCTATAAAATTTTAAAATAACAATACTGATACAAAAATAAAATAAACTAGTAAAGGACCCGCGAAAACGCGCGGTGTTACGTTGCGATTTAGTGTAGAAAATCTAAATGCTAAACCCGAACCCGACCCAGAAACCCTAATAAAAAAAATTAAAACTTAAACCTTTTTAATATGTCTAAACCCGAAAACCCAAAATCCAAAAATCCCGAGAACCCTGAACCGAATAAAAAAACTCGAAACTTTTTCACCCGAAACTCGAACCCGACCTAAAAACCCTAATAGTTTTTTTAAAATAGCCAATTTTTTTTAATATGTATAAACCCGAAATCCAAAAAAAAAATTCGGAAAACCTTGAACTAAACCCAAAAAAAGTTAAACCCAAAATCGAACACTGATTTTCAAAAAAAAAACCCGAACAAAAATCTACAATTTGATTTAAATTAGACGTATTTCTATTTCACTATTGGAAATTTTGCAAATATCTTTTCGATCATATTTCTTTTTTGCAGATTTTCTAAGAGCTGGAAAACGGAAGTTTTCTAAACCATCGGTTTGTTTTAAGCTATTATTCTTGTAACCAAACAATTTTTTTCCATTTATTCTTCTATCCAAATAGATTTATTCTCTTATTCTTGTATCCAAACATTAGAATGTACTTCTCAATTAATAATATAATAAAGAAGATAAAAATCAACAGAAATTTCATATTGTTTGTAATAATGATTCATCTTAAAATAGCGATTAAATGTAGATCCTGAAATGCTTCTCATGAAAGACCATATGAAAGAAAACAACGTAACATAGATGTTTACCATCTCTTACGAATGAATCAAATCGAAACAGATGCAACACAATTCAAGCAGCAATGCAACCCGGGGACCTTGATTACAGCATTAAGCCACTCGATCTTACCCCCAATCTCACCTCCGACGTGCTTCTCTAACGCAATCTGAACGCACCAAATTTCAGTCATACGCCACCACATAACTACAATTTTCCCACCATAGTTAACTATTTTAGGCATACTCCAACCACTTTTAAGATACTCCCTCAATTTTTCCAGACCCTTGATCTTTTTCCACTTTCTACCTTCATAGTCATACCACATTAAATCCCCCATGTAAGGGTAACCGTACATTACATTCTCTATCACACAAATAACATGGATTTGACATGATTCCTCTCCTACCACTTCCCACGTACCACTTTTCGGCTCGTAAGTGTATTCCGTTTTCTCAACCACTACGAAAATCTTTCCTTGGACAGCATTTACCGCAATATGCCTCTGAAGCTCATTATGATCAAGGATAGGACTTGGCAAGACGCTCCAAGTCTGAGTCTTTATGTCGAAAACCTCGAACGTATTGTCAGATCGGTTAGTTTCGCAACCTCCCATGACATATATTTCGTTTTCGAGGAGAACCGCTCTTGCGTTCTGGCGAGCTACCGTCATGCTAGGGGCGTCACGCCACGTGTGACTCCGACAATCAAGGATCCGAACAGAGGAAGACGGAGCAGTGAGTCCACCGATTACGTAGATTTCAGAACCAAAGACTACGGTGGAATCATGTGGTGGTACGAATGGAGAAGGGGGTAAAAAGTGTAGCGGAATCAAGGAAAAGTCTTTTAAAGTATCATCTTTGTTAGTTAGGGTTTCTTCATGTTTCATCCAGAGAGTAAACCACTGCGGAGATGAGTTATTAGGCATGTTTATGCAGATATAGAGGCATGTCTCTGTGGTTCCGATGTGAGATCGAGTCGTGAAGAGTTTGGGAGAAGAGAGCAAAGAGTGGAAACTCTTGGAGACGAGCGAGAGTAAAGGGTAGTTATATTTTGAGATACGTGCAAGGCAGTTCTCTGCGATTTCTTCAGGGAGTGATGAGAACGACAATGAGTGAGAAGTCTTCATCTTCTCTTCGGAGATCATTGTCGGCGGAAGTTGCAGATACAATTGATTAGGGTTGACTTAGCTAGGGCACGTACAAGAAGAATTGACGTATAGCAATAGTACTATTGAAGCAACCCACTAAGAATTAAAAGGGAATATTGTGGAATTTAATTAAATTTTAAAAGAAATGGGCTATGAAATAATTAAAATGAATTGGGCTGTGAATTATCGAAAATCCTTTACAACTTTAAAACGTTCATTATATTTAAAAAAAAAATACATGTCAAATATTTAAAAGTGTTTTTTTTTTGTCGGAGAGGGGGAAAACCCCATTTTATTTAATTAAAAGAAAGAAACAATTACAGAGGCACAAGGCGTGAGATAGAAACCCCAGCCATATCCTCAAGCAAGACCGGCTTAACAACATCCGGAACCAAATCAAAAAGATGAAAACCCAACGGTAAAGTAAACGTATAGTTAGCTAATCCATCTGCAAAACGATTAGCTTCTCTATACATATAAGAAATACGGACTATTCAATCCCTTGAGATCAAGCTATGGCACAAATGCACCAGGAACGACAGCGAATTCATTTCACTGATCCCTATCCTCAGAAACCCAACAACCATCTCTGAGTCTACTTCCAACTCCATTCTCTGTGACTTCCGTTCCCATGTCATCACAAACTCATAATACACACCCCATAATTCAGCTAATGAAGCATTGCAAGCTTCAATATTTAAAAGTCTTTACCAACACTAAATGCCAACCGTGCACAGTAATTTATTTTTTAAAGACATAACGAAATAAAATTGGCTACTCCTTATAAAATTTAAAATCTGCCTTTAAAAAGAAAATAAAAATAAAAAATAAGCAATGACGTCAAAAAAAAGAAGCAAAATTGACTACGCCATTAACAAACACATAGCCCTATAAATCTGTTCTCTTCATATCCATCGACTGAAGAAACCAACCAACCCTCAAATAACAAAATTATCATCCTCACCTGATTATAAGTTAAAACGATTTCTCAAATAATATAACTAGTTCCATTTTCTTTTTCTTCTTACTATCATCTTCATCATCAGTTCATCACGATATGGTGTCTGCAGAGTTGATGCAGGGGCATCGTTCCTGAAGCTTCTCGAATTTAAAGCTTCTTTTTTCCTTTTCTCGTATGGTTTTCCTTTTTATAGTTAAGCTTGGTTTTTCTAGCAATTTTCCTAATTACATGTAGTAGTTTTCCTTAAAGCTTTTAAGATCAACTCTATAAATAGAGATCGATCTCTTCTATTGTAAGACACCTTTGATTGATTTAATAAACAGAGCGTTTCAAGCATCTTTCTCTCCTTATTACGGATAGAACTTTGGTTCTCAACGGAATAAGAAGGCTTTGATCTTTAGGAATTCTCAGACTAAATAAAGATCTCTGCACTATCGTAGCGAGTGCTACACCAGTTGGTATCAGACTCCAGCAGCTTTAATTTCTCAATTAAAGCAGATCCAAGCTTTTTGTGGTTCCGATGGCTCCACGAAAACCCACCTCCGAAGAGCAACAAGAAGAATTACGCCAGATGTTGGAAACGTTTACTAGTGGTCTACATGATGCACTCCTCCACGCCGTGGAACGTGCGTTAACTACGGTTCTTCAAAACCAACAACACGATCGACGAGGTCATCAACAACAGCAACATTACGACACACCAGAAGATGAGGGCTTGGCTGAAAACCTGTTTGCAGACCCAATTGCAGAGAATCAACATCGTCATGATATTCATCGAGATAATCAAGGAGAACACACTCGTCAAGATACTCGTCTCGATACTGTCCGCAACAACTCTGCGTCCCGCTGGGAAACAGGATTCAGGCTTGATATTCCAGAGTTTTCGGGATCTCTTAACCCTGAAGAGTTCATTGATTGGCTGCACATGGTGGAAGAGTTATTGGAGTTTAAACAGGTTCCTGATGAGATGCGAGTTGCCTTGGTTGCTACTCGTTTCAAAAGCCGTGCTATGGCTTGGTGGCAACAACTTAAAGAATCGAGACGGCGTGCCAATAAAGATCGAATCGACTCATGGGAACAAATGAAGAAACATATGCGTAGAAGCTTTCTTCCTTTTAACTACGAGCGAACATTGTATAACAAGTTGCAGAACTTACGACAAGGGACACGAACTGTCGACGATTATGCCTCTGATTTCTTCCATATGACTGCACGCATGCCTTCCATCGAATCAGAAGACCAACTGATCTCTCGTTTTATTGGCGGTTTGCGTTCCCAATTACAGGTAGCTCTTCAGCAATTTAACCCAGTCTCTGTTTCAGAAGTTCATCAACGTGCCATAGCCATGGAAACACAGCTTCGTTCGACATGGTCTGCATCTTCTGCCCGCTCCCGTTTTACTCCCCAAGCGATTGGTGATGCTTCTCTCGGGTCACCGTCTGATCTCGCGGCAACTCGTTCTGAAGTTACCAAATCAAATCCAATTACAGAGACGATTGCAAATTCACGACCTGCTCGTCCCAATGCATTACGATGCTTTTCGTGTGGTGAAAGAGGTCACATTCAAACTTCTTGTCCAAGAAACAACAAGCGAGGCTTACTGCTCCAAGAGACCGATGAATTGGAGCCACGTTTTGATGAGTATGATTCTGACTCCAAGGATGACACCATCGAAGAAGTTATTCATGGAGATACTGGTCTCAATTTGGTTCTTCGACGCAACTGTTTGCTTCCTCGAGCTTCACAAGAGTCTTGGCTGCGATCTACATTGTTTCGCTCCACTTGCACTATCAATGGAAAAATTTGCAAATTAATCATTGATTCTGGAAGTTGCACAAACGTGATAGCTAAGGATGCAGTTGTCAAACTCGGCCTCAAAACAACACCACATCCTTCGCCTTACCCATTAGCGTGGCTAAACAACAACACCGAGATGCGTGTTACTCAGCAAGTGATGGTGGCGTTTTCTATTGGCAACTACAAAGATAGTGTTTGTTGTGATGTTGTTCCTATGGACGCTTGTCACCTTCTGTTAGGACGTCCATGGCAGTTCGATCGTGATGCTACTCATAAAGGGCGTACCAACACTTACAGCTTTGTTATGGGGGATCGAACTATCACGTTACTTCCCTCCAAAGAACAACCAGAGTCTTGTGTGCTTTCTCAACATGAGTCCATCACAAAACCCAAAGTGAGTTCTTCTCAATCTCTTTTGCTCTTACCTAAAGCTGCTTTTGAGACAGAATTGAAGACATCAGACGTAGTATGGGCATTGATCTCTTCTCCAACAACAAGTGAGGCTTCTCCTAGCATACCCGAAGCTTTTCAGCCTTTATTTGATCAATTTGCAGACGTCTTTCCCGATGATCTTCCTCGTGAATTACCTCCACTCCGTGATATTCAACACCATATTGATTTGGTGCCTAATGCAGTTTTGCCGAATCGACCGCACTACCGTATGAGCCCACAAGAGCATGATGAGTTACGTCGTCAAGTTGAAGAACTTCTCCACAAAGGGCATATCCGAGAGAGTTTGAGCCCTACCGCTGTTCCCGCTTTGTTGATTCCAAAGAAAGATGGTTCTTGGAGAATGTGTGTTGATAGTCGTGCTATTAACAAAATTACGGTCCGATATCGTTTCCCGATTCCTCGCTTGGATGATCTCTTGGACCAGATTGGACGTGCTTCTATCTTTACCAAACTGGATTTAAAAAGCGGTTATCATCAAATCCGTATTCGACCTGGTGATGAATGGAAGACAGCGTTTAAAACCCGTGAAGGTCTCTTTGAATGGATGGTTATGCCGTTTGGTCTCTCCAATGCCCCAAGCACGTTCATGCGTGTTATGAATCAAGCTCTACGTCCGTTTATAGGCAAATTTGTTGTTGTCTATTTTGACGACATTCTTATTTTTAGTGCGGATTTGCAGAGTCATTTACAACACTTGGCTGAGGTCCTTCATGTCTTGCGCCGTGATAAGCTGTTTGCAGCTAGGAAGAAGTGTCTTTTTGGTGCGTCACAGGTTCTCTTTCTGGGCTATATCATCTCCGATAAAGGCCTCCAAGTGGATCCTAGCAAAGTGGAAGCAATTAAATCTTGGCCGACTCCGCGTTCTATCACTGAGGTGCGAAGTTTCCATGGTTTGGCCTCTTTTTATCGACGGTTTGTCCATCACTTTAGTGATATTACTGCACCATTAACTGATTGCATGAAGGGTTCTTCATTTAAGTGGACTCCAGAAGCTGCCCTCGCCTTTGAAACTATCAAACAAACTGGTTTCAGCTCAAATTCTAGCTTTACCTGATTTTTCTGTGGTTTTTGAGTTACACTGTGATGCTTGCAAGCTAGGAATTGGAGCTGTCTTAAGTCAACACGGACGTCCGGTCGCATTCTTTAGCGAGAAGATCGCTGGATCTAGCTCGTTATAGCACTTATGATGTTGAATTCTATGCTATCATTCAAGCTATCAAACATTGGCGTCACTATCTCTTTCATCAAGAGTTTATTCTCTATACTGATCATGATGCCTTAAAACATCTAGGCAGCCAAGAGAAGATTTCTGCTAGACATGCTTCATGGATTGCCTATTTACAGCAATTCACTTTCGTCATAAAGCATCAATCGGGTCGTACAAATAAAGTTGCAGATGCTCTCAGCAGGCGTCATACTTTACTGGCTACATCTGCAGCTTCAGTAACAGGATTCTCTACGTTTGCAGAGTTATATCCAGTTGATCCTTTTTTTGGACCCATTTGGAATCTCCTGCAACAAGAACGTCATCCTGATTTTCTGTTACAAGATGGATTCATATTTCGTGATACAAAGCTTCTGCATACCTTCTTGTAGTTGGCGTTTGAAGATTATCCAAGAGTTACATGGAGAAGGGCACATGGGTCGTGACAGAACTCTCCAGCTCGTAACAGAGTCATATTTCTGGCCGTCTGTGCGTCGAGATGTGGCTAGATTTGTTGAGAGATGTGTTGTTTGCCAATTGTCAAAGGGTACAGCTAACAATGGAGGCTTATACATGCCGCTGCCGGTTCCGACGCAACCTTGGACAGATATAAGCATGGATTTTGTCTTGGGCTTACCTAGGACTCAGCGAGGACATGATTCTATCTTTGTCGTAGTGGATCGATTCTCCAAAATGGCACATTTTATTCCATGCAAAAAGACAACAGATGCAGTTCAAGTGGCACAATTGTTCTTTCGCGACGTGTATCGTATTCACGGTTTGCCTCTTTCTATTGTTTCTGATCGAGATTCTCGGTTCTTGAGTCATTTTTGGAGATCGCTGTGGAAACTTCTTCGAACAAGCATATGAGCATCCTCAATCTGATGGTCAAACCGAAGTCACTAATCGTTCGTTGGGAAATTTACTACGCTGTTTGGTGGGTGAAAACATCAAGTCTTGGGATTCAGTTTTGTGCAAAGCAGAGTTTGCGTATAACCATGCCGTAAACAGAAGCACTTCTTTCAGTCCTTTTCGTGTTGTCTATGGGTTGGTTCCACGAGGTCCTATTGATCTTGGTGTCGTTCCTGATGCTACTCGTGATCATGGACAGGCTGTTGATTTTGTCGCTGACTTATCATTCATTCATTCTCAAGTTCATGAGAATCTGCAGGTCGCTTCAGCTAAGTACAAAGAAGCTGCGGATCGTCACCGTCGTGATGTTCAGTTTAAAGTGGGAGATTTGGTTTGGGCCATTTTAACCAAGGATAGGTTTCCTCCGCGAGAATACAACAAGCTAAAGTCACGAAAGATTGGACCAGTGGAGGTGGTGGAGAAGATAAATGCCAATGCGTACCGTCTGAAGCTTCCACCTCACGTTCGTTCTTCAATGTCTTTAATGTCAAACATCTATGTCCATATGTTTCTCAAGATGAAGTTGAAGATTCGGGGTCGAATCTTTTCCAACCCCGGGTGACCTGATGCAGGGGCATCGTTCCTGAAGCTTCTCGAATTTAAAGCTTCTTTTCCTTTTCTCGTATGGTTTTCCTTTTTATAGTTAAGCTTGGTTTTTCTAGCAATTTTCCTAATTACATGTAGTAGTTTTTCTTAAAGCTTTTAAGATCAACTCTATAAATAGAGATCGATCTCTTCTATTGTAAGACACCTTTGATTGATTTAATAAACAGAGTTTTCAAGCATCTTTCTCTCCTTATTACGGATAGAACTTTGGTTCTCAACGGAATAAGAAGGCTTTGATCTTTAGGAATTCTCAGACTAAATAAAGATCTCTGCACTATCGTAGCGAGTGCTACACCAAGAGTTGAGTCTTATTCGGCTGATTGTGGGAATAATAGGTTAGTCATGTCATGATTGTGCACACAATATATATATTCCATTTTTTTTTTAACCTCGAATGATCCTTTTTGCAGGAAACATCATCGCTATATGTCTGTTCGTGTCACCAACGTAAGTTTTAGCTAAATCTTACTTCATCTAGATTCATGAAATCTTTTAATTATAAATAATTTTACGGAAAAGACATCTTGTTTCATAAATTTTGAAAAAGTTCCTCTTGGAAAAAAAAAAAAAAAAAAAAACTGAAAATGGTTTTTCATTGCTAGAGCATTTTACATGTAATTTTGTTTCATCACAATATTAAAGCTGATACGTCCATATTTTTATAATGGTTTTGTTAATCTTTTACATAAGATCTAAGAAAGTTTATAACTTCTCGGTTTCCTTCGAGAAGTAAAATTAAAATTTAATATATTTACGATTGATAATGTCACAATTCATCAGGCCAACGTTTGTAGGGATCTTGAAAAAAAAGTCAGTGGAAAAATACTCACCAATACCATATTTGGCAACCCTCATAAACTGTTTGGTTCGACTTCTCTATGGACTCCCTATAGTGCATCCTGACAGCTTATTGATCGTTACAGTAAGTGGTATAGGGATCGTGACCGCAATCGTTTTTCTTGCCATCTTTTTTGTTTTCTGCGGCCAACGAAAACAGCGGTTGGTTATATCAGCTGTTTTAGTCGTTGAAGCTGCGTTTGTGGCTGTCCTCGCTGTTTTTTTAGTCTTAACTCTCCAACACACTACTGATCAACGGACATTGAGTGTTGGGATCACATGTTGCGTTTTCAACATTATGATGTATATTGCTCCATTGTCGTCTGTCATGGTATGTTATTAAAAATAAATTCATTATGTTTTACAGTTAACAATTAGTTGGCTTAATTAAATAAGCAATGGCAATTTTTTTTCTTGGTTAATTTGTTCCCTGATTTTTGTGGTGGCTAATGTTGAATGGTGCATTTATAACGTTTCAAAATAGTTTATGTATATTATGTTATGTTTTTTTTAAAAAAAAAACTTGAATTGATCTTCTTTTTTTTGGCAAAATAATTACATGAAAAAAATGAAGAAAATGGTGATACAAACAAAGAGTGTGGAGTTCATGCCGTTTTGGCTATCGGTGGCTAGTGTTTTAAACGCAGGTGTTTGGACAATTTATGGCTTCATCCCTTTCGACCCATACATTGCTGTGAGTTTTTTTCTCCCTCTTTATCTTTCCTCAAAAAAAAAATGATTTACCATAAACCTTTATTAAGTATTTATGTGAAAAATGATACACCCCTACAGAATTAATTAAGAAAAGAAACTGCTACTTTGATTATATAACTTTTATGTACCCCACTCCATTTGCTAGTGGTTTGATCTTAATCAATGAAATGGTGCATAATAGCATAAGTCCTCTCATGGCAATGCGCTAATGCTTAGTAGCGTAAGTGGTTTCATATAGTTAGTGCACTGGTTTAGGCTTTAGGTCTGTAAGCTGCAAAGAGCAAGACAGCAGTTTTAACTTTGGTTTTTTTATTTGGTTTGATTCCGATAAAGCTTTATGCTAAAAATAAAAAAGAGACTTCACTTCAGCCAAGAGACCCAAGACGTAATGGCACTTCGACGTAACTAAGAACTTACAGTCGGTTACAAGTTAGTTGAGTCTTGGATTAGATCTAGTAGAGGAGGTAACCTAATATGGGTGATTAATCCTTTGGTCTTTCTGGTTTGTTCATCTGTAAAGAGAATTCTGTCCGGGTTCTTAATTATCAATTTTTTTGTCATGACTATGACTATGTATTTATGCACTTTCTCAAAAAAAAAAAAAAAAAAAAAAAAGACTATGTACAGTAGAAACTTTATAAATTAATACTCGATAAATTAATACTCGATAAATTAATAAACACGATAAATTAATAAATTTCTCCGGTCCCGAGTTGGGCCGGTGTAAAATATGACACAATTCGATAAGATAATAACTTTTTTTAAACTCCTATGTAAAATATGGTCCCAATAATATCATAAATTAATAATTATCATATAAAATTATATATAAGATATCTAAATACTAAAATATGAATCTCTACACACCAAACATATATATGAAATTAAAAGAAAAGGAAATTTAAACAATATGGCAAGTATGAAAAAATGTAAACAATAAATTAAATATAGAAATCATAAAAAAGTTAAGAAAATATACTGTATAAGGAAAGTTCTTATTTAATTTGAAGATTTTAAAAAAAAATTATTATATTGAATTTTCTTTTTTGAAAAAATTGTTTAGTCAAAATCTATATATTAATAACTCTATAAATTAATAAAATATCAAAGTCCCGACATTATTAATTTATAGAGTTTCTACTGTATTTGTAACTTCGCTCATACTTTCTATATTACATGTAGACCAACTCAATGTAAAGAGTCCACTCATTTTCTCAACTTTTATGTAATCTATATTTTTATTTTTATTTTGAACTAGGGGTTATCCTGCGCCATTTTTTGCGTTTAGAATATTTCTTTACTGTTTCGGTTTACCAAAATCTGCTAATTCTATATACTATATGTTGGACCCCATTCAATGTAAAGATTCTGATCATTTTCTTCTAAATTTTGTGAATTTTGTTTCCTTTTAATCCAGTGTTAAGATTTTTTCTAAATCCATTGTAAAGAAGTTTGAATCTATAGTACTTGTTCTAAATTGTTTTAATCAGTTTGAGGATATTCTGGATAGTTTTTTTGTGTGTGTTGTAAATATGTAGTTGTTATTCTTCTGTTGTAATTATTATTATCTTTTGTTCTCAAAAGAAATTAAGGAATGAGTATGTTTAATAATGAGCTATTTTCAGATACCAAATGGAATTGGATGTGTATTTTCACTGGCCCAATTAGTATTGTACGGTATCTACTATAAATCCACCAAAAGAATAATGGCAGAAAAGGAGAAGCAACCCGGCGACGTCAGTGAAGTGGGATTATCCAGCAGGATCAGTCAGTCTGAATCTGAGCAAATTGCGAATTTCATCCAACGAGTCAACGGCGTTTGATTTGGTCTACATCATGTTATTCACCATCCCATAATCAGAACTTTTAAAATCCTTTAAAAAAAAAAATCAGACTTTTTTCATCATCAAATATTTTAATTGCAAATAAAATGAAAAGTTTTTCATGTTATGACTAGGGGATTACCCACGCCTAATGCGTGGGATTGAATAAACTTTAAAATTTTCATATTTAAAATAAATTATTATTGAATGGATATGTCATTTTAGAATAATGCGTGGAATTGTTTTGAAATAATGAATAGATATTTAGTTATTAATTTATGTGTATTATTATATGTAAGTTGTTTCCTATTTTCAAATGCGCGATTGAATTAACTTTATTTATTCACATCTTAAATAAATATTATTTGATGGATATGTCATTTTCTATATTGTATGTAGACTAATATACATGTTTTGTTTCTTTATCATTTCATATGAATATTTTAACAAATAATAATCATATTGGTTCCGTTGTTGATTAAGAATATTTTAATTTTTGTTTTTTATAATAATGGATGGATATTTAGTTATTTATTTACGTGTATTATTATATCTTAATTGTTTCACATTTTCAAAATACATTTGTTGTATGATTTGTATAAAAGATTATGATTTAATTAAATCTAAAAGACCTTTAGAAAAATTGCCAATAAAATTTAGTTAGGCAAACCTTTCTTAAAATTCATATTGAAAACCAAATAGCAATATCCACTACATATTGCACGCAAAATACTTGTCCAAAAAAACATTGTAGGGTTTAGAATATATTGTAGGATGAGTAGGTTTTGGTAGCTGAAAGTTCGCAAATGAATTATTTTGTAGAAATTTACCGAATTTTGTATTATTTGCCAATAGCTAAGAAGGAAAAATCTCAAACAAAAATGTTGTGAGAAACATCGATGCGACTCAAACATAGTGGTGTTTTCGATATTATCTCATGTTTCAAGTCAATAAGCCCATTGGGCCAAGACAATATAACACGATGACGTAAATACAAATGCGGATTTCTACGCACAATAATTGTTTTGCTACTACGATAACGATGGAACAACGTCGACCTTGCGTACAAGCCTCCAACACCCTTCAACAGTAAGTCAATGGAGATCAGTGGCTTCTCTTGATTCATATAATCACGCGTAAAACTTTTCTTTGTGCGACTCTTCATCTTCACATGGCAGATTCTTTACCGGCAGAGGTGGGGGAGGGTTCGCCGTCACGGTCTTCGTGGAAGTACGACGTCTTCCTCAGTTTCAGAGGAGCAGATGTTCGGAGAACTTTCGTCAGCCATATGGACGACGCTCTCAAGGAAGAAGGAATCATAACCTTTCATGACGACAGAGATCTTGAGAGAGGCAATTTCATCTTGGAAGCACTTGAGGAAGCGATGTCTGAGTCGCGATTCGCAATCGTTGTGATTTCCAAAGACTACGCTGCCTCTCACTGGTGCTTGAAAGAGCTTTCGTTTATGGTCGACTTAGCTGAGAAGAAACTTCTTGAGTTGATCCCTATATTCTACGAAATCGATCCATCGAAGCTGAAGAGCCGAACCGGGTGTTTCAACGACGCTTTTGAGAACCATACGCTCAGATTTGGTCCGGAGACTGTAGGGAAATGGAGGATGGCTTTGGCTAAAGTCGGTAACATTTCTGGCTGGGATTCCAAAACCAGGTTTGTTCTCTTTCTTGAATTTTCTCAATTTGGAAGGTTATTGCTTGTTTAAAAAAAATTTTGAATGTAAAATTTATTTAAAACCTTCAAAAACTTTTGTTACATGTGTTACTCTGTTTAGAGATTTTAGAATACACTTAAAAGCATAAACATGATAAGCCTCTTGCTTCGAACAAAACTTGTAGTGTCTCTTCTTACTTTGTGTACCCTAATATTTATTGTTTCCTGATCAATTTGCTGAGAATAGTGTTGTTTGATCTACAATAGCTCTCTTGATGATATGATGTATATCTAGGTAAATAGTTGGTATATAAAACTTGTTCACATTTTTAGCCTTTTTTTTAAAATGATTACAAAAAAAATACAACTAGCTTGTTAACTCTATAGTCTATACCTAGGAAAAAACAAATATGTGATTAATGATGTTCTGCTATACATAACAATCAATTGCATGTAGTTTTTATATGTTTTGATAATGGGCTTAATGCAGGAACGAGGACTCAAAGCTTGTACATGATGTTGTTCAAGATCTTATTTATAGATTATACTCTGCAGACTTGTCATCAGACGAAAACTCTGAACTGATTGGGATGAGTTTCCACAAGAAACGCATAGAATCTCTCTTATCAATGGACTCTGAAGATGTGCAAATGGTAGGAATCTTGGGCATGGGTGGCAGAGGGAAAACCACCATCGCTAAGTATGTCTTCGAGAGCCTCTCGAGTCAGTTTCCTGATCGTTGCTTTGTAGAAAACGTGAAAGATGATTACCAAAAACATGGTGAATCACATCGGAAGCAAATCATGTCTCAGATTTTCCCCAAAAGCTCCATGAATGCACGGATCACCATCGGTTCTGATGCAATGATGCGAAGGTTACGCGGCAAGAAGGTTCTTCTCGTCCTCGACGATGTTGATGACGTTCAACAACTTCAAGATTTGGCTGGAAACATCAAGTGGTTTGGACCAAGGAGCAGGATCATCATAACTACAAGAGATAAACGCGTACTAGATGAGCATTCTGTGAAACATATCTATGAAGTGAAGCCGCTTAGGACTACACAAGCACTTCAACTTTTCAGTAAACATGCTTTCAAAATGAATCGCCCACAAGAAGAATTCAGAGAGCTATGTTTAGATATCGTCGAGCAGCTTTGCGGTCTTCCATTAGCGCTACGTGTCATTGGTGCGTCTCTTTATGGCCGGAAAATATCTTTCTGGGAAGATAAGTTGTGTATACTAAGGAACAGTCTTGATAAATCTATCTCAATGGCGTTGAAAGTGAGTTATGATGCACTTGATGAGCATGAGAAGATTGTTTTTCTTCATGTTGCTTGTTGTTTCAATGGGGAATACATGGATCGAGCCATAATGGTTTTAGACCCATTTGTGTTTAAATCTAAACCAAGGCTAGTGATTCTGATGGAGAAGTCTCTGATTAGTATGTCCAACAATACGAGGCTATGGGTTCATGATTTACTTCAAGACATGGCTAAGGATATCATTTGTGAAGGAAAAATGGAAAAACCATGGAAGCGTAAAATGCTTTGGAAATTTTTTGATGTCAAAGGCTTGTTCACTGATAATATGGTAAGACATGAAATTTTTCGGGGTGGTTTTTTTTTAGTTTCTTGATGATCACTGTTTTAACTTTTTAAAATTTATTGTTTTCGACAGAGGACTAAAGACATCGAGGTTGAAACTATAATGCTCAACATGGCTGAAGAGACAGAGCTTTGCATTAATCCCTCAACGTTTGAGAGGATGATTAATCTCAAATTTCTTAAAATTTATAACAATATCAGTGTTGAAGGGAGCAAAGTGTGCATTGTGGGTGATTTTGACTACCTCCCTCCACTAAGATATCTTCACTGGGAGGGTTACACTCTAAAGTCATTGCCTTCACACTTCAATACTGAAAATCTAGTTCAGCTCAACCTCCATGGCAGCTCAGTTGAAACACTATGGAGTGGAAGTCAGGTACTACTTCTATATGATTTTCGTCATAGTTGATTTTTTTTTAATTGTTTTGAGGAATACACTAAAATAGATTAAAAAAAAGTTGGTATTCCCAAAATAGACTCATAAGTTTAAACCAGGTTATACTGTGAAAGACATAAAATTAAAACTCTATTTGAGTTCTTCCTCACCCCCAAAAAATTAGGATTTGTAATTTCTTTTTTTACTAAGATGTTTTGAATCTTTTTTATGTTTAAATACCTACTTTTGTAGAATTGCTGATTTTTCAGCAATTTGTAGTGAGTGTTATGTTATCATATGTTGGTAACAAATGTCTTGCTTCTTTTTGTATGGCAGGATCTTGGAAGTCTAAGACACATGAACCTAAACAAATGCAAGAATCTGACTGAAATCCCAGACCTTTCAAAGGCAAGGAATGTAGAGTGTTTATGCCTTTGTGATTGCGAAAGCTTGGTTGAGCTCCCATCTTCTCTTGGCCATCTCGATAAGTTAGTTAAACTGTCCTTGGTAAACTGCAAGAAACTCAAGAATCTCCCTTGTGACATCTACTTGAAGTCTCTCAAAGCTCTTAATTTAGACGGATGCACAAACATAGAAGAATTCCCATTTGTCTCCAACGATATGGAAAAGCTGGGATTGAGCTACACATCAATCGAAGAAGTGCCGGATTCGATCCAGGGTCTTTCGAAGCTCACTGAACTGGGGCTAGCACACTGCAAGAAACTGAAGAATCTCCCTGAATCCATTGGGAGTTTGGATTCACTCGTACATCTCACGGTTGCTTACTGTCCAAGCATCACAGAGTTTCCATTGCTTGGAAATGGAGTAGAGATACTGTCGTTGAATGGAACAGCGGTTGAAGAAGTTCCTTCATGGATAGGAGACAAGATGACTCTCTTGTGTCTTGACATGTCAGAATGCAAGAAGCTTCGTAATCTTCCTCACTCGTTGAGCAAGCTGAAGAACCTCAAGCTGCTTTATCTCCGTGGATGCGTTAGTGTCACTGAGATCCCGAAAGTCGCAGGGGAAATGAGAAGGTTTGACTTGCATGGGACGTCGATAGAGAAATATGGGATTCTCTCTGAAGAGGAAGCACTTGTGTTGCACAATCGTGATATGGAGTTCTTGAAAGGGTTTCTCACTCGTTATGTTCGTAACTACAAGTTGAAAAAGAGCTCTCGATAGTTCTGATGACTTCTCAAAGCACAAAGATCATCATCATCAATGAAAGACAGAAATGTAAATGCAAGCAAACAGACATCAATCAAGAACAAGGAGTTGGTTGCTGTATCAAGAAGCACCACTGTAAAGTATTACCGTTTGTTACTCTCGAATAACACAAAAACATTTGTATGTGTACATATTTTTTTTTTTTTTTTTTTTTCTGTAGTGATAACTAGGGATAAGGAAGTAATAAATGTTTGGTATAGAGTCTACACAGAGACGAGAGAGGACTCCTCCTTTCAGAGGAGTAAAGGAGAGAGACATTGGTTTGTCTTTTAATTCAGAAGCAGGCAGGGATAATTACGGACATGCGTACAATGGAAGACTCCTCTTCTTCTTATACCTTCTATTCCATTTGATTCCTACACGTGTCTTAAAATCATTTGTTTTAACTTTTACTTTCTTTTTTTGCTTCCATTCACATTTCCTTTGTTACTTTTTTTTACTTTTCCTTTATCATTTTTCGTTGTAAGAATAGAACAAAGTTACCAAACGGTCAGATTTCTAGGTCCCGGATTGGTAACTGAGGTTTTGCACTTTTACTTGTGCACGTTACTAACGTTAGTGTTTAAGGGATATACATTAGTGATTAGTCAATTTCAAGTATCTTTTAAAAATAATAGCCAGTTTCGACGACTAAAGATTCGTCAATTTCAATTAAACAAAGCGTTTGAAAGATAATGTAAACACATAACCAAACCAAATGTATCTACAAGAAAAATATTAAACTCAAACTCGAAAAATTTAATCGAAAGAGTCATTTATAGTTTTGTGTGTATGTGTGTTATTTACTGGTTTCTCGATCCTGAACGTAACCAAAATAATTGGACATCAGTTACCTTTTAGATAGACTATTAAATAAAGTAAATAATTTTTCTTTTTAAAACTGAAAAGAAAAAAAAATCATCATATCTTCCACTCAAGTATTCAGAAATTTAACTCCTTTTCATTTTTTTTTAATATAAAACAAAAACTATTTCTCTTCCGTTTCACATTTTAAGTTAATCATATTTTTCATTATTTTAAAATAAAATAATATTTTCAAGAAAAGAAAAATAACCATCCAATTCCCAAATCGACTAACGCATGAAATTAATATGTACTTTAAACAAGAACAAAAAAATAATAATAAGTGGACCGTGCAACTTTTTATTCATTTTTGGCATATTAGTGGATCGTCCAACAAGCTTATTAAAAGCAATTTTTAATTGTACTTCAAAGAAAGGAGGAGTAAATGATTGATTTCCACCACGTGGTGTGCTCTTATTGGTCCAATGTCATATAATTTCCCTGCAAAATAGCTGTGACTACATTAATTAATTCAATAAAAAAAACAAAATTTAAGTTTCCCGAAAATCCCGATACTGACTGAGAGAGGGATGTTGCCCGATATTCCACGCCACAGTAGTGGAAAGACTGGAGAAGGATAAAATCGTCAAATTCATCATTACGATTTTACTTACTGACAGTTTTTTTCCGTAAAAAGGATCTACCGCAATTACTAAACACCAGTAAAAAACAAACCACACCGTCCGTCCCACTATGAGGGTAAAACGGTCATTTATTCGATATCACGTAATAATTTTCGACTACCCAAAAAACACGTAATAATATTTGACGTGGCATCATCGCGTCTAGTCACACCTCTTCTTCTTTTGGCCTCTTCAGCTTCTTCGTCTATCTCTGAGAGCACCTATAAAATCAACTAATTTCGCTTTAACCGAACCAGAAGAAGAAAGAAAACAAAAAATTGAAATTACGTTTTCATTAAGGAAAAGTTTCACTTCTAGAGTTTTCGCTAAATTTAGGCAATCGCCGGCGAATTGAATCTCGCCGGGAAAATGAGTATCCCGGTAGCTTTATCCTCTGTTTCCGTTTCTAGTAACGCTGTTTCCGACAATCGCCGTCATGTGTTCCGTGAAAATCGTCGGCGTTGTTAAGAAACTCCGATCCATTTCTTAGACTTTTTTTTTCCTTTTTCCGTTTCGTTTTTTTGGAGACGATTCATTGATTTCAGAAGACAGTTTAGTTTTTCTTCTGGTAGTTTCTATTAGCTGAGAGGTTTTTCCTTCTCTTCTTCTTCTTCTTGTGAGGTTTTTAAGCTGTGGAGATTCGGATTTTTGGAATTTTCAAACGATTGATTTTTGTTTCCTGGAGAGAGAGAGAGAGAGATCTCATTTCTGAAGAGTTCCTGAGTTTTGAATTTTCTGCGTCTCTTTGAACGAGAATTGACTTGGTCGTTGCTCCGTCGAGAGAGAAATCAAACTAGATCGTTCTTCTTACTGTTTAATCTACACACCGATGCCATTTCCGATGAAGATCCAGCCGATTGAATCCGATTTTCCGGCGATAAGAGACTCAGCTCGAGTGGAATCAGGCAAACCGGTGCTCAAATCTCGTCTCAAGCGTCTCTTAGATCGTCCGTTCACAAATGTCTTGAGAAGCTCTAATAACTCGGAGAAATCACTCATCTCCGCTACCGGAGAAGCTCAATACGGCAGAGATGGAGCCTCCGAGTTCGAGCCGAGCTCCGTGGCTTTAGCGAAGATGGTTCAAAACTATATGGAGGAAAACAACGAGAAGCAAACGAAGAACGGACGTAATCGCTGCAATTGTTTCAACGGGAACAACGATGATAGCTCCGACGACGAATTCGACTTGTTCGGTTGCTCCGTCGATTCGTTCAACGACGCTTATGACCATTTCAAGGTAACTCTCAACTGTTCTTCAATCTCTGTAACTGTAACAACCAAAAACTTAGGTCTAACGAAATCATTCATGGATTTGATTCATTTTAATCATTTGAATAGAGCTTGATTCCATGCGCGAGCGTCGTTGAGAAGAATCTGTTAGCTGAAGTTGCGAAGATTGTAGAGAAGAACAAATCAACCAAACGGAAAGACGATTTGAGGAAGATCGTCGTTGATGGACTCTCGTCTCTTGGTTACGATTCCTCAATCTGTAAATCGAAATGGGACAAAACTCGCTCTTATCCGGCCGGTACAATCTCCATAACCGGTTTAGTTCTTCGTCCACTTTCGATTTTCATGAAATTTTTCGTCTGATTACGGTTTGAATTTTTGAAAATTTCAGGCGAGTATGAGTACATAGATGTGATTGTTAACGGTGAAAGGATTCTAATTGATGTGGATTTTCGATCGGAGTTCGAGATCGCACGGCAGACGAATGCTTACAAGGCGTTACTTCAATCTCTGCCGTTCATTTTCGTCGGGAAATCTGATAGGGTTCGTCAGATTGTGACAATGGTCTCAGAGGCGGTGAAACAGAGTTTGAAGAAGAAAGGGATGCATTTTCCTCCATGGAGGAAAGCTGATTACATGCGTGCTAAATGGCTGTCTTCATACACCCGAATCTCCGGCAACAGCGCCAATGAGCCGGCGGTTGATTCCGCCGCCGCCGTGGCACAAGCGAAGCTAGATTGTGCAGAGATTGAGCTGAGTTTCGAGGAGAAATTTTTGTCTTCTTCCTCTCCTCTTCTGTCTGTTGCCAGAAATGGTGGTGACATGGCAAAACCGGTGGAGAGAGAAACGAAGGTCGTCGTCACGGGATTAGCTTCACTGTTCAAAGATAATCCCTAAAAAAGATTTTTGATTTTTCTAATTTTTCCTAATTTCCGAGTTAAACAAAACGTTGCAAAATAAGGCAAAGAAGACAAAAAAAAATATCTAGAGAAAACCATACGATAAGAAAAATATAATCGGATAACATTAGAGTATCTCTTTCTCTTTGACTCTTTTTCCCTAATTTTCATGGGGTTATTACTTTTCTCTGTGTAATAGTAACAGAGAGACATGGTAGATTTTGTTACCGGGAAACACTGCTTTTAATTCACTGCATTTTTACCTTTTATGAGATTTCACTGCGAGTCTCTCTGTTTAAAAATATGTTGGCGCAAAAGGAACAGAAGATTTATGACTAACTTTAAATACTCATATTTTAATCACTGCAAGTAAATTTATTAGTGGGAAACAAAATCAAAGCATTTATCGATGTCAGAATCTAAAAAAAATAGGAAAAATAGTTAATTAATTTACGATGACGGCAGCATTCGAGAAGAAAGAAGTAGCCACAGTGGTTTCTTGATAGCCGTGGAGTGTAAGAGCTGTTCGTTTCAACTTTCAACAGTGTATTATTCTCATACTGTTTATTTTATTTTCTTTTTATTACTTTTGTTAGATTATATATTGTTTTCTGTAATCATGATATAATATCGTATGTCAGTGAAATAAATATTTTGATTTAGTGACATATAAATAAATAGAGTCGCTATGATGTAGATACAAACAAAACTAATGAATCAAAAAGAAATGTTCCAGTTCCAAATTTGAATTTAGATTATAAAAATAGGTTGTTGAAATCAAATACGTAAGTAACCCAAAAAAAATCGAATCCTCGTATAAATAAATACTCAATTTAATTGTGGAAGTAGCTCAAATCTGTATTTCCAGAATAATTTTCTTGATTTAATTTTAATGCCAGTGATGAGTTTTTTTTCTATATCGTTGTTCCTTGTCTCATTTTAAATTATGTCAAACTATATTAAAAAGATGTTTGTTTTCAAAAAAAATAATCATAATGCAATGTTCTGTTGATCTTTTTTTTAATGGAAAGATGAAGTTTTTATTTTTTTTCTTCTTCTTTTTGTTGGAAAATCAAATAAAAGCTTGTGTTTGCTTTAATTTTAGTTGAAGCCGAGACCAACTTTCTACATGGACCTAACTTTGTTTCCATAAATATGTGTTGTTGCGATTAAAATTAAATTCTCTTTTAAACGGTAAACCATACCGCTATGTAATGCATCGCAATCATTTACGTGGGGGCACCAGTAATCCATTATGAGACAATACATACTACACATACAAGTTTTTAAATATTATAGATTATGAAAATAGTTTTAGGTCGCATGAAGTGGGTAGGGTCGGTTACAATAACTTCAGAAGCTGTGGGGTATTTTTTCTTTTCTTAATACCAAGTTACCAACAAAGAAAATATATTCTTTCACATCGCTGTAGAATTATTTAATTCGCATTATCATCATATTTTTCAACAGCATTACTACCGGTCTAGATATTAAAATTAGCAATTTTTATTATTTTTGTCAACACCATTATTATCGTTTTTTTTTGAGAAATGCTATATATATGGATGTTAAATTTAAATGTATCATCTGAATACCGGTGGTAGATGAAATCCAATTATTTAAACATCCGTTTATAACTAAACAAAACCATAAGCTTAGGAAAACAACCTTCCACCCACTCAATTGAATAGTTTAATTTGGAGACTCGTCTCATCTTTGATTGTTTGTTGCTTGTAATTTTTTTATCACCTGAGTCTTTGCCTTGTAACTTTGTGAGAGTCTACGATACGAATAAAAAATTTACGCACAACGAACTTGTGATAGTGTTATTATTTTATTGGACCTCCTTGGCTCCTTGATTCACACATGCATGATATCATATTAATATTTCTTATAAGACTGATCTTATATTTTATAGATCAACCAAATTCACTCTATATGATATATCAACAACATTATCGTTGGACTTATGGAGATTGACTCCCTAAACGTTGAATATGTATAAGCTACTACAGGCAGCCTACTATCTACTATCTTGTCTCACTGATCCCGATCAGTTTCCCTATCCATAATCCATTAAAGTATATACACTTTGCTTAGTTTAAGAATTGGTTACTCTCGAGTTATAAGAACACAACTATACTACTATTTTAAAACCCAAAAAAAAAAAAAATACAACTATTCTAAAAACCCAGAATATTTGTAAGAAGACAATTGGTTGATTTATCAGAGAATTGTTAAACTGATGTAACATATTCTCTCACAATAGACAAAATTCACATATATAATCTTAAATAAATGAAAAAAAAATTATTTATATATATAAAGTTAGATTTTAAACATTCTTGTTATAAATAAATAACTAAAAATGAAAATTTTGGTGTTAAAAGAATTGTGCAAACTAAAGATACTTGTTACAGCAGGATATGTTAATTTCTAGAGTTTTGAAGATATTTTGTAAAGTTAAGAAAGAGAGATAGGGATTACGTAGCGTGTTAATGTTTGGGGACCAACCTGCAACATGACGAGCCTAATGGTAAAGAGACCTGTCTACATTGACATGCCTAAAGTCTTACTTACATTATTGACCTAGATTCAAAATACACAAAGAGCCAATGTATATGGTGTGATTAGTTGTGTGGCGCATGGTCATGGGCTTGTTCTGTTATTCACATGCCTCTCAATTTTTAAAATTTAATTCGAAAAATATCAAGGTAAACAATTTATTAGATACACACAATTAGTCTTTGCAAAAATAAATACTGCTATTTTTCAAGATTAAAATGACTAGATTACGATATTTAATTGATGAAAAAAAAAAGTTGATTAAGATGGAAATAAAGAAAAATGTATAAACTTAAATAATGTTGATTAGAAAAATTTCAGATTTACTTATTTTAGTAAATTTGTGGAAGTCGTATTAAGCTTTATATAATCAAATATTTGAAAATAATATGATATTTGAAATTAAAATAACATAAAATATAAAAGTATGAATTATTAGTAATTCTTTTGCGGAAACATGAGTTCAGATGGAAAAAAAATATATGATATTTATCGGTTTCTCTATTTTTAGAACACATAAATACAGAGACTTATCCGCATTGACATCAGACCCCGAATATTTGGTGAAATGTGGTCCTCCCTCCTTTTGTTTTCTTTTTCTTCCATACTTCTTTTTAGTAATTTATTTCATATTTTTTTGTCGGCATTATTAATTTTTTTCTTCCTTCTAAAGGTAAAGAAATTGAGAACTTTTTTCCCCTTATTTGGATAATACTTTCAGTTTTGTTCTCTGTTAAAGTGAAACTATCAGTTATGACCGAGATTCCGATTTATAGTTAGCATGAACAAGAATTAAAATGTGAGATTGCTAAGCCAAATACCTTTTACAAAACTTGTGAGTGCAGACTGACTTCTGGTTTTTTACTTTATCTTTTCACTTGCGTGTTTAAATTCTTTTACTTAGTAAATGTGAAAGCTAGTATATTTAAATAGTATTGATTGCGTAGGCAAAAATGCCCACATTTCTACTTGATTTTTACTACTGTACAGGTCTTTAAAGACGATTTTTTTTTGCGTATTAAAGATTATTGAAATATATCAAACGGCCTGCAAAAATTGATTAGAAGTATTTAACCAAATGTACTACTATAGTAAACTACTAGAATTTGACCCGCGCCAGCATGGAGATGGTTTCTGAATTTGTATTTTTTAATTAAAAATGTATATTTAACTATTTCAAAATTTTATGTGACAGATTTTTTTACCTTGTTAAGGTTTTTATCTTCGTTTATAATGTGGAAATTAAACATTTTAAAAATTATAAACAAATTAAAACATTGATCATAGACATAGATTAAATATGCTAGACTATAGATTAAATATGCTAGACTTCAGCAAAGATACATAAAACTCAAATGAGTATATTTTATAAGATAAGAAGTTTTAGGTGTTTACACGGATTAGAACTAACTTTTTTTATTTCTTTTAAAACTAAAACATGTTTTATTATAATTCCAAAACAATCCAACCAATAAAAGATCAATCTTGCAAAATCCAAATTGTCAAAATAACAAAAGTATAAGTAATTTTGTACTGAAAAATTGAAACAAATGGAGCAATATTCAAATTTTTGATCAAAATTAAATACATTTATAAAAAATATTATTTTATTTGATTTCATTATACAGTTTAACTAAAAAATCATATAAAATATTTTAAAAAAAATTACATTTAGATACCTACTCTCCTACTTACATGGTTGCATATCATCTATTTTTTATAATATATTTTTACACCTACACACAACAACATATTGGGAATTTTAATAGTTTTAGTGATTATTTTGTTTTTAAAAATTCAAATCATAGCATATATAGAAAAAGTTTTAGATTTTATTTATTAGATTTTTTGTATTGTGTCAATTTTTTATTTTATAAAATAAAGTTAAACAAAGATGAAAGGAGATATAGAATGATTTAAAAAAAATATAATGATAGCATTAAATTGAATCTCATATTTTCCTTATTTACTAATTTTCGTAATTGCCAATTAAGGAAAGAGAATGATGATTCTTTTATTAATAATTTCATATATGATTAATCTAACTATACATATTTGATTCTCTAACCAAAAATATGAATGCAATGTTTGTAATTAGTCTAGTAAACTAATCCTTATTTTATAAATAACATGAGAAGCTCCTAATGATGACACATCAGCATGGCATTCTTGTTAATAACACATCAACTAAAGTTATTTTTAAAGTGTTTTCTCTTTTAATATATTAGGCATATAGAACTATGGTACTGTATATGGTAATAAAAAAGATGTATAAACACTATATAGAAATGAGGGAAAAAAGGAAAGTAAATTTAAAGCTGTTAAGCTTCATTAACTTCTCTAATCTATACACTATGAGTCTATGACCGGTTTATAGAAGTAAAAGCAAAAGCAGTGACAGGTGACAGCTAAGGAAAGATGATGACACCCATT